AAACTCAGATCTTAGTTAATATTTTAAAGTAATGTCAACATATCTGATTATAATAACCCATTTAAAATAATTATAAAAGTAACACTAGGCTTGGTTATTGACATGGGTATGTATATAAAAGTTACATTTTCCTTGAAGAAAAGGAAATTAAAACTTGTTTAAAGAAAAAAGTCCAATGGGTGGTGTTAATGTACCTAACAATTTGAAAAGCAAAAATGATTGGATTTGGAAAAGCGTTGAAATTTTGAGTGGATTATGTGGTCCAATCAGAAGCTCACAACGTATCACACAGAAAACAAAACTAAGTGGAGGGAACAGATTTTGTGCTGTGCATTCTGCGTTGCATTAACCTTAACAGTAAAAAACAAATGAACTAAGTGGAGAGCACGTGCCACTTTAACACGTGTCGCTTCCACTTTCAATCATACTCTTTTTCTCACTCAATGAACTTGGTCCGTCACAGCCCAATCAGCTACGGATGCACCGCAGTGGGTAAGCCCACGGTCGGTTACATTAGCATTACTGTGTTGGGTTCCGGAGAAAAAGTACAAAGAAAAAGGGTCTACACTTTTTCTGAATGGAACCTTTATAATAATTTCTTTAAAATTAGTTATTTCAAATATTAACACGTAGCAACTCTTATTTTAAATTCAATACAAAAAGTTCTCATGCCTTTTTAAATATTTATAAAAAACGTTCCAATGTATTTTAATTAAACTGAAAGAAATGTATTTTTTTCTTCACTTTTTTAAACGAATACTCATAATGTATTTACTGCATAGCATTACTATTATTTTAAAATTTTAAATAATTTTTAACCAAAAAAACTTATGCTTTAAATAATGAGTCTGAACCTCAAATTTTTAATTTTAAAATATTTATTTTTAAATAAGCATATTGACCATATGTTGATTTTATAATAGGAAAAACTAATTATACATATTAATACTGCGACGATAATCTTAAGATATAATAATAATAATAATAGTGGTTGTAGTATGTTTATAAGACTAAAATGTTATTTTAAGTATTAGTAATGTTGCGAAAGGGTTTGAGACACTGAAAAAAGATATTATTTATTTAAAATTATCAAATGTTATGATAATATTTAACAGTGTAATTTTTGTTTAACAAAAATTAAAGTATTAATAACTATTGAGAAAAATTATACAATTAAAAAATATAATATATTAATAACTATACGTTGATAGTATATATTAATATTCTGTTTGTTAGTATAAATACAAAATAATTATACTAATAATTTATTTTTATTAAAAAATATACTAAAAAAAGTAATTTAATATTGAAATCTTTCACCATATGTCGATGAGATAAGTTAACTTATAAAGCATCCTTGTTTTGACCAAATAAACTTATAAGTTAGTCAAATAATATCTTGCTAATACTACTTCTTATAACTTAATTAAAATATTTAGTCTGAGTTTTTAAAAATTAGAATTGTATTGCTTCAGAAAAACAATAAATTATATTAGAATTTTGGAAAAAATTGTTTTATTGCTAACAATAATCTTACTTTATTTGATTTAATTAATTAAATATTTAATGATATGTTTAAATATTAATGGTTAAAACAGTTATAATTAATGTCTTAGACATCGAGATAATCAATGAATTAATTAGAAGTGCACACGAATAGTGTGGTCTGAGTATTTAATATAATTATAAATAACAAAGATGATTAAAAGAATAGCTGAAAACTTTGTAAATGCTTATGTGAGTTATAAAATTAAAATGAAATGACGGAATGATTAAATTATTTTCAAAAGATTAAAATCATAGTTGTACCTTTTCTTTGGGTTGAGAAAAATGATTATACTGTTTGTGGTTCAGTTTTATATTAGATAATAGAAAAGAAGTGGTACCCTTTTGTTCCAGAGAGAAGTTAATATAAAAAATAATAATTTTTAAAATTAAAAATAAAGATAATCAATATAAAATAATAAAATTTCTATCATAAATTAAATTTTTTTTATAAAAATAGATAAACATAAATTAATTTTAATTAGAAATTTGTTGGTTATTAATTAATTTTTTGACCTGCATAAATACTCGTTGAGAATTCTATCTAAACAGAAACTGTTTTAAAAATGAGATTTTACTTTTATTTATTTGTTTAAAATGATATTATTTATTGAAATTTATTTTTATTAATTTTTTTGTTAAGAAAAAAAAGAAGAAAATATATTTCACATCTTACGTAAATTTCACATGTTCATGAAACGTCGACAAGAAAGGAAAAAGGAGATCTGTTTTTCAGAAAGCTGGCGTTCAAAGTGACGTTTAAATTATATTTTATTATAATGTATTTTATTGTTATCCTTGTTAATTTAGCGATTTTCTCTTTCATCACAACGTACAATATAGTTTATTTTTTCAAAAACTGTTAAATGATAGGTTTATTTTATTTATTGTTTTAATGAAGTTGAATATTTATTTTAGTACACTAGATTTACTAATTTTGGATTATTTTCCTAATCTTACGTTATTTATTTCAATTATTACAATATTTATACTATCTGTTCAGGTTAATAGTATAATTTCTTATGTATAGATAAAAATTTTAAGTTTGAAATAACCTAATAAACCCAAAATAATAATTACCTAAAAGAGTATTTTTTTTTCAATATTTTTAAAAAAAATACATAATAAATGTATCTTTTTATATCATTTTATGTTTATCAACTAATTTAACAATAAAATTAACCAAACACTTTTTATTCGATAAACTATTGTAATAACTTCCCACTTAAAATAACTATACTTTCAACTTATTGTGCCAAACACAATGCATTAATTACTAACTAATAGATGCAATTAGTGATTTATTTATTTATTTATTTATTATTATTATTATTACTTTCTTCTTCCTTTTTAATATTGATATTGGATACATAATTTATTTATCTATTGAGCATGCATTACAGAAAAATGCGGTCATTCATAAATTGCAGCTCATGTCTTACCGCCTTAAACCTCACCGCCGGGAAAGAAACCCCTAAATGAAGGAAAGAAAATAAAATAAAATACCAAAATGAAGATTTTGACAATCATATGGATGGATTTTTCTATGTCTTCAAAAATAATTTCAAAGCTATGCACAAACAAAAAGAAAAAAGAAATATAATAAGAAATAAAAGCTTTAACTACACACTATTTATGGCATACACTTAACTTAGTGATGTCACGATAATTATATTTTTAAGAATATTCAACACTCGAATGAGTGCTACTTAAAGATAAATATTAACATTATAAGTTGTTAGATGTGTGAGTGTAAATACCGTCGTAGGTTGGGATCCTTTTCTGAATAAGCAGTATACGCACAAATTTTACTCTATTTAAACTATGTACATATTTTCACTTGCAATTCATTTATTTTATAGGTAACATAGAAAAAGAACGAAAATAAAAAAAAGCATATAGTAAAGTTTGAATTTTGCTCAATTCTTTTATCTGTTATGTATCTTTCATTTTCATTGCAGTCTCTTAATTTTAAAAGGTTATAATTTAGTTCTAGTAAAAAAAATTCCTTATAATATAACTATTTTATTAGTCTTTTGTTAACATTGCTCTTTGTCTGTTGTTTTTGTTTATTCTTTATACGTTGGCGTTGGCATTATTATTTATCTAAATTCAATTTCGTAACACGTGATGCATTTTTTTTCTAACATAAAAAGCTGGTAGAAAAATAATTAACCCTAATTTTGATCCTCGAAACATAAAGTCTAAAAGCTAAATATGAAAAAAGGTTTCTTTTTGAATGCATTTGCGCATGATGCCAGTTTCTACTGCATCCAATAGAACGCGAAAAGAATATTTGCATTATTTCAGCAGTTCATGAGGTTTAGTTGAAGGTCGCGTATTAAGTCATATTCATGCAAGAGAATATGAGTATTGTATATAATGGTAGTGAATGTTACAAGTCACCATCAGTTCAAAATAAACAAATAGAGATAAAGAGAGAGAGTATATGCCCTCGATCTGTCTTACTGATGGATCCTCATATCTGTGAGCTTAGGATGTTACGTGCCATAACTCTGATTATGATATAACTGAATTGTTCACTCATTTAATCTTGCATGGGGCGTGTGATATATGATTGAAAATACAAATAGCATGAATAAGATGTTACCTAAAATGTTATCCTTACATTTTAGATTTTTACTTGTTTTTTTTAAAGGTATAAAAAGAGGAATAAAACTTAAGTGCAAACAATAAAAAGCTACTAAAATAATGCTTTTTATTTTAATCACGCAGAAGATTGTGCACTGAACGTGTGCTATGTCCTTAAAAAGGATATATCTTTGACTTTTGTATGAACCCCTGTGTATAATTAAGACCATACCCGTGTTGCTACAAGTTCACTAGCAGAGAATCTAGCCAGGTCAAAAAAATATACCGCAGGGATGAATTGATATCGTGCTGGCAAAGGGCTACAGAAAACAGCTTATGCGGCTACCTACCATATCAGTTTTTCAACTTCAGAACCGTATTTAAGACTGAAATTAAGCCTTCTCCTCTACTTAATGCCTCCCACTCTCGCACATAGGTTCACTCATCTGCATCCTACAAACTCCTTCAGATCCAATTCACTGCAACCAGAGAACTAAAATTTTTAAAAACTAAACAAATTACTATATATAGATTCAGCACCGCCTCTTAAGATACGTAATATATTTTCTTCCATAAAGAAAGAAATATCCAACTTAAACTTTGTGTTACTTTTTTCATATATATTTTTCTTTATTATTCCAAAAAAAAAAAAAAAAAAGGAGAGAAAGTGGACCATTCCATAAACCATTTGCAGGAATTACCAACTGCAGATATATGATTGCCACGTAGCAATCCCAAATTGGTATTTTCACTTCGACGTGGCACTGGCATGAGTCCTGATCCCTCCATAAATACCCCATTGTATTCCTATCCCTTGTTCCTCTCACTTCATTCACTTCCAACACTTCCCTTCACCACTTTCTCTCTTTCCATCGATTCTCTTCCCTCTGTTGCAAACTCTCCCTCCTCTTTTTGTTCCCCCGGAGGCTTGAGAGTGATAGAGGAAAAAGTAAAATAGAAAAAACTAAGATAGATAATAATGCCAACGCCAACAGCAGCAGCAACAACGGCAAGCTTTGGCGGTGTAGAAACTCCAAATGGAGACTCATCCAACACTTGTGTCCCTCAAGAATCGCGTGACCTTCCTCCTTTAATGTCTTGTTCTTACCCCATCACTCTTAAGGTATGTATTTATATTATTTATTACGCACAATAACTAAACCTATCAATCTTTATTTCAACGAGTCATGAGTTTGACTAGGTAATTATGAGTGATGACTCTGTTGACCCTCTACTTTTCTTTTTCTTTTTTTCGTGGAAATAATTAATCCAATTAATTTTCATGCAACGCAGTTCATGGACGTGGGATACCGTCTGAAGATAGAGGAGAAACAAAGAAAAGGGACCATCAAGAGGTTGTTTACCACGCACGAGTCATCATCGTCAGACCAAAGATCAACGGCGCAAGAGCGAACCATTCTCAAGGGAGTGACGGGAATAGCCTACCCAGGGGAGATCCTAGCGGTGCTGGGCCCATCAGGGAGCGGAAAATCCACGCTCCTAAACGCGCTCGCAGGGAGGCTCCATGGACACGGCCTCACTGGGACAATCCTCGCCAACTCCAACAAACTCACCAAACCGGTTCTCCGCCGAACCGGGTTCGTCACACAGGATGACATCCTCTACCCTCACCTAACGGTGCGCGAGACCCTCATCTTCTGCTCCATGCTGCGCCTCCCAAGGACCCTGCCACGCGCCGCCAAGGTCGCCGCGGCGGAGTCGGCAATCGCGGAGCTAGGGCTCGGCAAGTGCCAGCACACCATAATCGGAAACAGCTTCATCCGAGGCGTCTCCGGCGGAGAGCGGAAGCGCGTGAGCATCGCGCACGAGATGCTGGTGGACCCTTCTCTCCTCATACTGGACGAGCCTACCTCCGGTTTGGACTCGACGGCGGCACACCGGCTCGTGGTGACGCTGGGGTCATTGGCAAAGAAGGGGAAGACGGTGGTTACGTCGGTGCACCAACCTTCGAGTCGCGTGTACCAGATGTTCAACAAGGTTCTGGTCTTGTCTGAAGGACAGTGTTTGTACTTTGGCAAAGGAAGCGATGCCATGCGCTACTTTCAGTCGGTTGGGTTCGCGCCGTCATTTCCAATGAATCCGGCGGATTTTCTGCTCGATCTCGCTAACGGTACGTCAGCTTTAACGTCGTTTCAACCGTTTCTGTTATTTCTTAACAAATTACTGTTACTTTGTATAACTAGTGGTGTCGGTTCAGTTGAATTAGTTCAAGTTATCGTTATTGTTATTGATTTTGTTTCTTTTTTTTTTTTCAACTTGCAATTTGTGTGAACAGTGATATTGATGATTGAGGTTGATAATTTGATATGTAGTTTGTTTGTTGTTGTTTTGGAGTGGAAGGGTAATGGTGAATGGGTGTGTGTGCGTGGTGGATGTGATGGTGTGGGGTAGAATTGTTAAGAATATGGGCATGATGGGTGAGTTTTGGTTCGTCAATTAATTAATTAATGAACGTCATTCGGGGCATTAAGTTGGACAACATACTGTGCCAGGCATCATGTTGTTGCTTCTTGCTAAGATTGCTAGCTGGGGAATACAACACCCCCATGATATCATTCTCCACATCCCAACTCTGTTTTTGCCACCCTCTATAGTTTCATCACTCATTTTCAGGGATTTCTTACCTCTTACTTCCCTTATCATATCTATCATCTTTCAAACACATATTTAAATAAATATATATAAGTAAGAAATAAAATATTTTTTTTCAATTTTTATGGACAACTTTTGTTCTCTACATGTTGAATATATTTTTTGAGTACAAGTATATAAAAACATTAAGTAAATAATAAAATATTAAATTTTAGTTATTTAAATATCAGAATCATAACATATATAATTGGTGTCTTGATCCAAACTCAAATTTAACACTTTTAATATAATATTTAAACATACAAATACTTAAAAATAAAAAATTAATACTTATTAAATATTTAATAAAAATATATTAAATATTCTTTAACTAAGATTCTTAGGATTCTCACGAGTAAGACTTGTCAAATGTTACTTTCTCATTTCTTTCCCGCTTCTTTTCCTCTGTGAAGTCTCTTTAGTGGAATTTTAGTAGACATCACTCTAATATTTGGATCACTCCCAAGCCCTAATAGGATGTCTTGAAAAAAAGAACTTGTAATTTACATGTTTAGGTTTTTTGGGCAATGAGTTGGGCATTCGTACTGTGACAGTGGTGATGATGATGGGGTTGTGGATGATTGTGTGTAAAGAATATCTAATAAAAGTATATTTTAGGGTATGAGCGAAGGGAGAAAGATAAAGATTTGTGAGCTTGAGTGGAACAAATCGATTAGATACGTAATGGGTTTTGATTTTCGCATCAATATTGGATGCTTTATTTAAACATTTCCTTGATGCTTACCACGTGTCCTCGCTCCCCCCCCCCCTTTTTTTTTTCGCCTTTCTTCTATAGCCAGTTCATTTTTCTTTTTTCCGGGCCCAACCTGATTTGACTCCTTATGCTTCTGGTTTTTCCTCTCTTTTTCGCTCATTTTTTACTTCTCGCAATACTGTTTCTTCTAGGCCAAACCAAAATCATAGTCATTGCCTCCTCCAGCGAGGCATGGAATTTTTCCCTTTAAACTAACTAGCAATTTGATAAGAAGTTTTGGAATTGAGCTGGAAGCATATCTTTTTAAGATTTGAAGTAATGAACTATATATATATTAAGAACATGGAGGGAAGGGGTATCATATATGATCAGATAACTAGATCTTCTCGGAAGAGTGAAGAGTAAGCTTTCAAGCCCATTTTTGGAAACAGAGAAGAGCTGTTCAAGAAAGTGATAAATAGTTTCCAATTTCCAATCAAATTCTGTTTGGTACCAATTTTTATGTGGGTCCGGATATATTCCAAAATTAGAAGAAAAATAACATGGACGCTTATCATGCACTCATGGATTTATGAAGGCATGGCCCCTTGTTACTAGAACCATCAACCATATCCTTTTCAACAGGAACAAGTTGATCTATTATCCTTTGGAAAGAATAACATCAGAATCAATAATACTTTTGTTGTGATGTCGAAAATAGACATTTTGGTTGATCTTGTACAAGGCAATAAATTATTAGAATAGTAACTGGTAAGTAATCACTTGGTGCAGATATTGTCACGTATTGTTATCGCAATCAATAAACCGATTATCTGCTTTCAAACTTACACTGGACTACTTTCCATGTTTCTCTTTTCTTTTCTTTTCTTCCTTGTATGTCCTAGAACTTTTTTATACTGTCTTTTTTTCCCTCTATTTCTTTGTTTATTAATTTGTCAAGTTCAAGCATAACAAAGAATGTTGTATAACTACCTTTATAAGATGTGAGTTTCGTAGAAACTCTCTTTTGAAGAACTAATGTAAAAAGAGTAATTATCGTTGAAAACGCCAGCTATGTGGTCCAAAGCTATTTATGGTCAAAAGAGAACGTGCATATGGTATAAAGTAGGAAATGCTTGGGTAGTGGACTGGAGTCTTAGAGTGGTAGATAACTAGCGGTCTTTCTATATGTGCTACTGTTTGCTTCTTTTAGCATGGATTGGTTGGTGATATCACCAAGCACAATCTAGCTATAATTAATTATTTCATGAATAACCGTATGGTAAGTGCTCTTTGACTAGGTATTTTTATCTTATATGGTCCTCAACATCTTTGGCCCTAAAAGATTAATAGGGATATGTGCCTCTCTTAACCTTTTTCGTTGATTCTTGGGACCATGATGATATTGTGGATATTAAGGTGGAGGAAGTGATGACGACACTGATAGCGTGAGAAACCATCAATCTGCTGTAAAAAGGAAATAAAAAATTGAAAAAGCAAAGAGCACCCGGGAGAAGTGGCACACTGAATCACTGTCTGCCCTTAAAAAATAGTGATAAATTCACAAGCATTTACCCACGATTCTTATCTTGTATTCTATGGAGGTTAAGCTTTCGGGTGTATAAATATTATTAAAGTTGGGTTTTGGGTATATCTTTGTTTTTCAGTGTTGCATGTTTGGTTCGCTCCGCACAACTGGTGTGCATTAATAAATTTTCCTTTATTAATGAAGTTAGTCTTACTCCTCATTTTTTATCGAAAAAGAAAGGAAAAGAGAGGGAGAAATAATTGTTTTTCTCATAAAAAAGAATTTTAGGATAAAAATGTAAAATGCCGAAGTATAAGAATAATAGTTGAATTTTCGTATAAAATATTCTTGACCTACTACTAGAGAACATGATCTTTGGGGCTGTTCCTTATTCATGATTACATTTGGAAAAAAAACTTGACCTTCACTTCTGGACAATGATCTGGCCTATTTGGCAGTGATTCCCTTTTCCCGTTCACTTTGTTTCTTTTCTCTTTTCCTCCAACTTTTTTAGAATCTCTTATCTTAGGATCTGTTAGAGAGCTACACGTGTTGGGTTGCTTTACATCCTTACAAACATTTCTCCCGCAAAAGTGAAGTCTGATGGCAGAAAGGTTTAATGAAATAAAAGTAAATAGCTAAATTGATATTATGCGAATGAAAGTGGGAGCTGGTGGCCCAACCAGCAGTGCCAGCACCAATATTAGTGGAGACTCACCATAACACTAACATAAGTCAGCTTTTACAAGTTCCACTATCCTATTTAAGCATGTTCATGCCCCTAATCGCCCCTTTTAGAATAAGCAAGTACTTGTATAATTATTTTAAACATACTTTGATTAGTTTAACCCTGCTTTGACCTATCCTATACGTCCTAGTTTCTTCAGCTTCAATATTTTCATGCAATTATTAGATCCGGGTATTTAATTAAATGCTATATTTCACAATACATGTTTCCATAGGGCCTCGCCCTGTTGCTACAGCTACAACTATCACTTTCAATAGTTTATTCAGCTGTATAACATTGGTTTATAGATAAGGATTTTTTATATAGAAAGCTTCAATATCTCTCTCGTTTTATTGTGAATAGTTTCCCTTTCTACCTCTCTGTATTGGTCTCTTGTATTTTTCCCCCCTAAATTTGAAAATTGAATAATATGTACTTGTTGCCAACCATAAGCTAAATAAAGGTTAATTACTTGTTTCTGAACCTGAATGCAACCCAAACTCTTAAAAAAATTCTTGGGATTTTTTCCAGTTACTTTGCATCCTTTTGCCGTTGTGTAACATTTCCCCAGATTCATCATTTACTGGACATGTTAGTTATATAGTTTATTCAAGTAAGAGATACAACTATAACCGAAGTGCAAAATAGAATGAACTTTTATAGATTTATGAGGTGAAAAAATCCCACATTGATATTGATCAATGTTTCGCCTTGAATTGTGTAGGTGTTTGCCATGTCGATGGTCAAAGTGAAAGAGATAGGCCCAACATAAAACAAAGCCTAGTTAATTCATACAACACAGTATTGGGTCCCAAGGTAAAAACTGCCTGCATGGATACTGCCATTGTTCCTACAAAAAACACACACCCTTTGAGAAGCAGTTCTTCCAAAGAATGTAGACACAGTGACAGGGTTAGCTTCTTTGATTGGTTTTACCAATTCAGAATTCTGCTTCAGAGAAGCCTCAAAGAAAGAAAGCACGAATCCTTCAACACACTGAGAGTCTTTCAAGTCATTGCTGCTGCACTATTAGCTGGTTTAATGTGGTGGCACTCAGAGTATAGGAATATTCAAGATCGGCTTGGGCTACTCTTCTTCATTTCAATCTTTTGGGGAGTCTTCCCATCTTTCAACTCAGTGTTTGCTTTCCCTCAAGAGCGTGCCATCTTCATGAAAGAAAGGGCTTCTGGTATGTACACATTGTCGTCCTATTTTATGGCACGAATAGTTGGAGACCTGCCCATGGAGCTTATTCTTCCCACGATTTTCCTCGTTGTTACATATTGGATGGGTGGTTTAAAGCCTGATTTATGGGCTTTTCTCTTGACTTTGTTGCTTGTTCTTGGATACGTGCTTGTGTCACAGGGTCTTGGGCTTGCTTTAGGTGCAGCAATAATGGATGCAAAACAGGCTTCCACAGTTGCAGCAGTGACAATGCTAGCTTTTGTCTTGACAGGAGGATACTATGTCCATAAGGTGCCATCATGTATGGCTTGGATCAAATATATATCCACAACCTTCTACTGTTATAAGCTGCTGACTAGAATCCAGTATGGGGATGGCAAGAAGATATCATATCTTTTGGGATGCTATCATGGTGACATTGATAGGGCAAACTGCAAATTTGTTGAGGAAGATGTGGTGGGGCAAATTGGCACTGTGGGATGCATTGGGGTATTGTTTTTCATGTTTGTTTCTTACAGATTATTGGCCTACCTTGCCTTGAGGCGCATCAAGAGTTGAAAATTCCGTGTTGCACAGTGTTCTTTTGGAAAACCTTAAATTAAAAAACATGATGTTTTGAATGACGCAGAATGCAAAGCAGAATGGATCAATTTGTTGGCTCCTAGTGCACCACTCAACCTCTACAGTACTAGGCTTGACTGGCTAGTTGATTCGTACTAACTGTAATTCAAGAATGAGAGAATCTCTGTTGTAAAGTTAGAGGATTAACAATCAAAATTGAAGTGAAGAAACGAGTAATTGTAGATTTCGATTTCAAATTGGTCTCCAAGTTTCTTTCTGTATTCACGGAAGAAATAAATAACTTTCTTCCATATGTAATGTATAATCTTTAAGCTATTACTTTATTATTTTTGTGGTTCTTAATTATCCTCTTATTTATTTTCATTCTAATATATTGTTGGTTTAAGCGATTGATAACGGTAGTTGAGTTTGTCTAACTTATTCCATAGATTAAATGATGTTATCTTAAATTAATAAATTATATTATTTATTTATAAATATATTCTCATTAATTTTTTTTAAAAATAAGGTTATTCAATCTATATGATAAATATTAAAAATATTAATTATGCCTAAAACACAAACTTGGAAAAGGATATGAGAAAAACATGTATGTGTGAATAAAGTTAAACATTTACTTAAATATTTAGGTTGTGTTTAGATGAGGTAATAAAAAATTTTGAAATTTTTTTTAAATTTAAATTATATCATTATAATTTTTATTATTTTAAAATATTTTATTTAAATAGAATAAATATTATTTTAAAAAAATTATTTATACAGAGTAGTTAAATTACTTACATTCTTAAAAAAATAAAACAATCACTGTATTTTTTTATCAACTAATCATTATATTTGACAAAATGAATTAAAAATATAAAATTTTCAATTAAAATAATCACTTTCAAATTTTTACTTTTTGTCAGAATTTAATTTTTTTTTATTTTAGTCTATTAAAGATATTTACTAAAATTTGTAAACAATTTTAAATATTTTAACAAAAAAATTTAATACATGAAATTGTAATTTATTTTTAAAAAATGAATTACTTATTTAAAATATTTTATCTAAAAACACTTTTAGTAAATATGCTTATGTTATATATTCAAAGCATAAGTTTTGTTGTACATAATAATTTTATGAATTTATCCGATTTGAATAGAATTTTTTTTATAAAATATATATATAATTTAGATTAAATATAATTTTAGAGATTGAATTAAATTAATTTCAAAATAATATAATTTAACCACTTTAATATTTTTTTTTATAATTCAATTGATGTGATTGTACATTCAAAATTTATTTAATCTAAACCAATAAATTGTAGTTTCGACTGGGTTGACTTTTATATTTTTTGGAAGTAATAAATAAATAAATAATATGCAATAAATATATATGGAATTATAATAAATTTGTAATAAAATAATTTATTTGTATATAATTAAGAGCATATATTATATTAATTTTTATGTATAAAAAATTATTTTAAATAATTTATTTGTTAAACATATTAAGATTAATATGAACTTTATGATTGATTGAGCCATTTAAAATACTAATTTTTATCATATATATTTTCATAAAAAAATTCTCTTTTCTCTTCTCTCTTTTCGTCCTTTGAACTAAATAAGGTAAGGACTGATACTAATAAAATTATATTTTAAATTTATTACCTAGTCCTTATAAAATTAAAAAATAAAATATATTTTGAGGAAGTTGGTTCCATTTTGCAGAGAAATTAATGTTGAAAAAGGAGAATGATCTTGGTAATGCCACCATCCCTAAACTAGGACCCATTAATTTGGCCTTTGGGCTTTTTCTTAAACTTCTTCAATGGTGGGTACTTCTTCTGTGAATAATTGTGTCGAGGGTTATCGAAAACCAAACCTTCCAAAGAGGTTGACAACTTTACTTAGGAGATTGATTTTTGTTTCATTTTTCACATAGACTAGACTTACAATTTCTCAATCCAAAATTTCTTATTTTTAAAGATCTGTACATAAAATAATAAAAACACCAAGGTTTTTTTTCCTTAAATAGTTAATAAGTAAATTGAAATTTTAAAAACGAACTTTTAATTAAAAGTTAAAGCCTGTCTAATTAGCTTATTAAATTAAAAATTTATATTAAATTAGTCAAGATAGCTAATAATTGTAAAATAAATATAATTTTTTCATATATAAATTATACTTTTATTTTGTAAATAAAATATATTCTTAGGTAATTATAGTTTTAGGTATTTTAGTTAATTTTGATCTCTTAAAAATCGACTATTATATTAGAAATTAAAGTAAATAGTGCAAAAACTAAAGTAAACAGTAATATGAAAGGAAAAATGTATTAAGATAAATGTTATAATATTAAACGAGTTAAGAATTAGGAAATTTTATTAAAATATTGCACGTAAGAGTAGAAAAATAATAAGCCAAAACCATGAGCTAAAAGGTATGAAAAGTACTATAAACTTGTTAACTAAATATTTTAATTAATTAAACTTATAAACAGATCAAATAAATTGTATATCAACTAAAACAACTTGTCAAACACATTCATAAACTTTGCATGAACTGCTCCAAAACATCTCCTACCGTGAATAGAAATGTCGTTTTCTCCAACCTTTGCTACTGATGAGAATAGTATGCATAAAAAACGCAGGTTTGGGACCATTTAGAAAAAATAAATAAATAATATTAACATCAGTCTTCAGAATAAATAATTTTAAGTAATTTAAAACAATTTTGAATAAAAAAATATGATTTCAAATGCTTAAAATCTAGTTTAACAATTGTTATTAATTTGGAGTTTTTGAAGTCTCCCCCTCCAGATAGTGTGATAAGATTCTCTCTTTTTGACTATGCATGTTGGGATGACATTTCTTCAGCTAAATTTCAAAACCAAGTCATCAAAGGACAAAGAAGAGGTAAACTTCAAAAATATTTTAATATTAAAATCAGAAATCATGTAATGGCTTGTTTACTTAGTTCATGCCTCCTAATCCATTGACCACTCTTGTTTTATTGATTAACGTGTATCTTGTATTTGTAATGTTACTCATTCCTAATTTTATTTACTTTGCCTTCCAAGTCGCCAATCTATGAATAAATTCTCATCAAATTTTATTCACAGTCAAGTGTGAACTAAGAAAAAAAGAGAAATGTTTTTTTCTTTAAATCTCTCTTTTATATTTTATATGTATTTTAAAATACATGCATTTAACAAAATAAAAAATAACTATGTAGAAAGTTATATGTAGTGTTAATTTTAATTGTTTAAATAGTAATATTGAAGAAAAAGTTGTGCTTAAAGTATTTGTTCTTCTTTCACTTCACATTCCAAAATGGTAACTCTAATTTTATGCAACAAAAACTATTTTGTTCTATTCTTTAATTAACAAATTTATTTCAATAATGTGTTGAATTTAATGCACGAGTTATTGAGACAAACTCTAATTGTAATTAAGAAAACAACACATCAAAATACTTGTAATGTTGTGTCTTAAGTTTTGTATTCATTAAAAAAAATATTTTTCTAATTAATCCATTTTCCGAAGAAAATTTTGTACTGCTTTATCTGTCTTTTTAAAAAGTTTATGATAATATTAGTTATTATCTTTTTTTTTAAAATATACCCATAGCTTTATATAATTTTACAATATTTATGTACTTATTATATACGAGAGAAAAATAATAATCAAAATAATATTAAGAAGTTAAAAATAATTTTAATATAAATAAGAATATTAATTATATATTTGTAAATCTGAAGTATTATTTAAAATAAACAAATAAAAAGGAAATGTAAAACTATAAACATAAATTAGAGTTTTTGTATGACTGCATACAATGTCCACCATAAGTTTTAATCTGTGATAAGAAATACTGTAAATACAAAAAATTTAGTGCAGGCAACTGGATATGAAAAACTGCAACTGTGCAATTTATTTTGGACCATAGACAATCCGGATCTTAAAAATTACACTTCCCAAATAAACTAGTTATTCCAAAGGAATGTTTAAATACTGCAGAGACCCAAACTTTGAAATCCACCTATTGGAGAAGCAGAAATTTTACAAAAGTGAATAGCTTGACCCTTGACACCTTCAAACACATGGTGCATTTATGGCTTGATGTATATTTTTGGATGAAATTAATTACCTATTCTTCCAAAGCAACATAGAGACAGCTCTTTTGCCTCAAAACTGATTTGATTTAAACCTGTACACTGGCTAGTAGTATTAGTAGCTGCAGTTCCTCATGTTTGGCCAGCCACCTCCATGTGATTGCTTCTTAACCACTCTTTATGGTAACCCTTCTACTTAAAACATAGCTTTATCACCTCCATCATTATTGATTTTCCTATTTTGTCCCCTCCATGAATGCCATGGGGTCTTTTTTGTTAGTCAATAATTATCATTACCTTCTTATCCCCCAAAATTATTATTCTTTTCTTTTTTTAAGGAAGATCAAAGCATAAAATTAGTAAAATAGGACTTGCACTCTTGTCTTTCTCTTATGTGCCTATATAATAAAATGTGCAAAGAGGCCTAGAGAAAAAAAAAACACATCTTTTCTCTCTAATTCATCACACAAACACAATGGATTCTTCATCAGGAACTGTTACTCAGCATGGCAAGGTTGTTGTTCCAAAACAATGTGACACCTTTCCTTCAGGAAAGTACCCTTCTTCTCGCAGGACTCATTCCTTCTCTTCCTCTTGTTCATCACTTTCACCCTCTTCTTCATCCATTGAATCATTCTATTTCCATGATGATCCACTCCTTAGTCCTGCTTCCCCTCTTAGATTCTCAGGTGTTCCATTTTCTTGGGAACATCTACCAGGAATTCCCAAGAAACAAAATTCCAAGAAGCTCCAAGAATCATCCTTGAAACTACTACCATTACCCCCTCCAACTACCACGCACTCTTCTACAAAGATGACTCATGAAGAACCAAGGACTAGGAAGAAAAATTCAATACAAAGTGTTTTTCAAAGGGATCCTTTCTTTGCTGCATTGGTTGAATGTTCAAAGGATGATCATGAAGAAACAAGTGGAAATTTATGGAATGGAACAAAGGTGTCAAGGAGTATTAGTGATCGTTTTGGGTTTATTAGCCTTTATGCTTCTTGCAAGAGAACTTGTGCTGTTTCTGAATCTATAGTCTACCTTCCAAGCTCAAGAAGAAGCACCTATGAACATGTTAATCCCAGGTCCCTCTAAGCTTGTGATGCCTAGCTTTCAATCTACTTGTGTTCATGTTGTTATGAGAAAAACAAGAATGAGGTATTTCATTCCCTTTTTTACTTTTAACCTTTTTAAACCTTCATCTTTGTTTTTAGTTTCTAAAATATGGCATGTGAAGACAAATATGTCTTTGGAAACTTAAGTTATTGTAATATGTTAATACAAGTATAGGAAACAGTGCTTGTCTCCTTTTGCTCAGAGATCACTGATCACTGATACTGTTTCTAATTTTTAATCATTTTTGTTTTTGGTTTTCTGGCACTAAACACACAAATCTCTAAACACAATATATACGGTCTTTGCTGTATCTCATGTGATAATAACGCATTATGAGTGAAATTTAGATGATCCCATGTGGAAACAATGTACCGGACTATACTGGAAAGAGATGACAAATCATTGATTTGACTTTTCTAATTTCTACGTACATTTGGTACATATTTTTCAAGTGAATGTGATAAGGTTTTCAGTGATGCAATTTATTTCTGTGCGTGGCTGCTACTGTTGATAACAACTAAAAAAGTTGTTGAGCTACCTCTTCTTTCTTTCTAACGCTCACCACACACAACACAACTACGTAAACCCTATACAGATTAGAAATTTAGTATAGCCCAAATAAAATATATGAAAGCTTGGGTTATTTACTCTAAATCATATTTATGAGGTGGCTTGGAGAATCAGTGGACCTTTTAACATATTTTTTAAAGGTTAGTGGTGAACCTAATTACTACCCTCAGATAATGATACATTTCACAATTGATTCTGCTTGCCCAGAATATAAAATTTGTGGATATCACTCTGTCTTGAGTGAAAGTTAACAAATTGAGTGTACCCCTTTTTTGGTCCTACAGTTTAGGCTATAAACAAGAGTTAATTTTCTTTAAATTTTTTATTTTTCTAATAAGGTGAGATCTCATTCAGCTCCTTAAACGTTGGCATCAACTTAGATGATTTGACTTAGGATTTCTCAGATATGGATCCTGAATTATGTGCCTTTTACCACTGTTTTCTGAAACATAAAAGTAATTTTAAAAAAAGGTTCACAAATTTGTTGTGTACATATCACAGTACAATCAGTTTGAAGTCCACATGCTCCGTTTGGTTTTGCATTTAGTGACATTTGCGTGTACAATTTCAACAACCAAAAGTGGAAAATGGTTTTTCTATTTGGATTATTATAAAGGAACTTAATTGTAGGTTGTGTAACGTACATTTAATACCTAAAATTACACGTGTGGGTCACATATATAAGTATCTGGAGTAAAATGTATTTTTTTAAAATAAACCCATCTACACCTAGTTGTTAAGTGAAAGCCATTATTATTCATTAAGTGGAGTTCAATTATTGGTTGAAGCATATTCATCAGATACATTACTCTACTTAAGGGAGGTAAAACAACATTAATAATAATAATAAAAAAAATAGACAAGTGAGGAAGCCCCCAACTATCATCATAATTGAATTAGACAATCTTAGAACTCAAGTTATGAAATTGGGTCCATCTGGTTTTCCCCCACATGGTTTCAATATATTCAATGCATTTCTTATGGTAGATCTACTTGATACTATTAAATCCATGAACATTGAAAGGAAAGAACCATTATCTTGATGTTTGAAGTCTCTATGTTCGTGTAAAGGTCAAAGCCAAAAACCTCTTTATCTTTGTTCATTTTGGTTGTGCAGCATATGATGAAAGCTACGTGAGCATATATCTTTATGTCATGTTTTACGGTAGTGGATGTGCTGAAAGCAGAAACTATATAATGAGCATGAGGCCCATCTGCCTTGTGACATAGCATTATTCTATGTAGTGGTATCTTGGTTATCATAACCTATGCTCAAAAGGGCATTAAAAAAAGGACCAAATTCAAGTCAATGAGACTGCAATTGTAATTTTATTTTTCTTATATTGAAAAGTGAGGTAAGCTACAATATCACAACGCTTAGTTCCATAAATCACACGATATGATTGAGTTCGATGAAAAATCAAATTATTAAAAAATTTCTTAAAAAAAAATAATCTTTCATAATCAAGTATTCTAAGTACACAGCCAACTATTTAGTTGGAACAATTTGTGATGGACAAAAGGGTGAGTAACAAGATGGTAGTATTCTTGGAAGTACATGAACTGGTGGTGTTTTACCGTGCAACTTCATGTTACGAATTGTTCAATCTGGATAGTGGAAGAGAATGTCTACAGAAAACACTTCCATCATCAAATCAACATTAATACTACGTAATTAGAATAAAGTTGAAATAGGTGTATATGGTTGTTTTCATAGGAATATACCATTGAGAAGTTTGTAACATGTCTCTCCTTCATGATTACCATTAATAATAAAGCCTTTTAATGATAACTATTGTCCATTTGAACGCTACAGTCTATCCAACACTCGCATATTTATGTCGTGGAGTTGACTGCTGGTCGGAAAACAAGTAATCAGGTAACTCGGTAACGGTTATAATCTTTGAATAACCAAAAATTGATTAGTATATATAGTATAATATATAATATTTTTATCTCTTGTTTATTTTATTTATTTATTTTGTATATTCACATTTTAAAAATATATCTAAAAAATAAAGAATTAAAATTGTTTATCAAAGTTATCAAAAAAATTTATAAGAATTTATTGAGAAGTTTATTCAAATTAAACCAGTGTAATTCTATCATACTTATATTGCATACCTAAAATATTTAAAGACACAACGATAATTTTATTAGAAAATAATAATAATCTTTAAATTATGTTAAATATGTATTGCATTTAAGCTGAATTTAAGTAAATTTTCAAAGAAGATTTTATCATGAAAAAAATTAGTATAAAAAATAATAAAACTTTTTCATAAATTAATAAAAACAATTTATTTTCTTAAATTTCAGAAAATTTAAATAAAAATGTTTTTAACAAATAGAGAGGTATAAGTTATAAAAAAAAATTATGATTTTTTATACTAATTTTTCTATAAAAACTTCTCCAAAAATTTATCAAAATTGGACGTTCTTTTATAAAACCTACATTTTTCTGTCTATACTAAAGGTATATTTTATATAAGATAAATTCTGCTCAAATGAAGAATATTTATAATATAATAATACTAACTCCCCCACGCAAATATATATAAAATTAAACAGTTAATTGCAATGTAGAGTTAAAGCGACTCACGTCCTAATATAAATCTTTGACTCAGATCATTTTGTTCAAATATCGATTCCTTCTTCTTTTCTTTTTAGCCTCTATTTATTGTGAGACAATTGTAAAACAAGCACACGTTTAAGTAATTTGGGGACTGTCTAAACTTAATTAATCCCTTTTGTTTGAAGGGAAAAGGTATTTATAAGAGCTTTTGTTTAGCAAAGTGATATTTTTTTTTCTCAAATATAACGAATTGCATTCTCTAATTTTTAGAAATATGATAATGGTAAATATTGCCAAATTTAATTATGTCAGAAAGTATTTATCAATTTTTAAGTTATATGAAAATTTATAAATGTGATTTATTTCATAGGAAGTTTCAATGCAACAGTTAAGTTTTTAAAATTTGATATTCATATAATCTTATTAAAAATATGTCTGTCAAATTAATACCTAACTTGAATTGATCATGTTGCTTCTTTATTATTCGAATGTCACACAATATATTTTAAACGTTTCTTGTCATTGCATGATATATTATACAAATCATATAGTGTGTTAATCTGAATGATCCTCACCCAAGATACGAAATTTAAATAAATCCAAATTCAACCCAAAATTAACTGTTGATTTCATTCTAATAAATATAGAAAATAACACTTCACCATGATATTAATTAGTTATATAACATAAACGTATGTTTACCATTAATTTGAATTTAAGCATTTATCATATATAAATAACTTTTAAATTAAAAGTAAACAAATTAAAGACTCAATTCTCACTCGACACGTCTATTCACTTGAAGCATTTCTCACTTTAGAAGCACAAAATTCCGATATACTTTAAAGAATTTCAAATTATACATGATTTAATGAGAGAAAGAAACAACAACTTAAGTTTTATAAATTTAAAAATAAATTATCTATTCTTTGTTCTTATGTTCCTTTCTCCAACACAGTAATAAAAAGTGTTTAAAATTGTATATTGGTTGATTACTTTTCAAACAAAAGTATTGTAAATTATTCTATCTTTAGAGCACTAAATCGAAACATTTGTTTGTTTAAATATAAAATATTAACAAGGGTTGAGCCTAATTAAAAGACTAGTTTTCTTCAAACTCATAAATTACGGTTTAAATTTTCACTTTAATACCTAACCATACTTGAAACGCAACTACTGTTTCACATTAAGAACACCCGTGAGAAATCCAAGAAAAAGAAAACGCAAAATAAGTAGTTTATGCTTCATGCTAACGAAGAAAACTACAGCAAGCTTCCAATAATAATAAATAACATCTTGAAAATATTGCATTTGTGTCTCTAATCTCATAATTCATGCTGGTCGGAAACGTGGGAAAGAAAGAGAGACAGAATATCGCAAACTATTCTGTCAGATCAACAATTTCTCATTTTTTTCTTCTTCTTCTCATGGTCTATTTCGTTGAATAAATATATTTAAGAACAAAAAATAAATGTATGATAAAATTTTATTAAAAATAATATGATATCACAAGTTCAATGTATTAATAACATTAAACAGTATAATCTTTAATAAAAAAATTATCTTTTTTTATTTTATTTTATTTTTGAACATGTGTCTTTGTATACATAAAAAGAAAAAAGAAATAGTAGAAAACCACCTCCCTGGCTTCATGATAATGTTTTTATTTTCTTTTCCATAACCCCCTTCATCTGTCACAACTCTATAATTGTTCCAAGTTCCAACTATTGCACATTTTCATTATTCAGTAGTACATGATGGGCCAAGTAGATTACTAAGCTACCCCAGTTCGTGCGCCTTAGAAGATTACCTATAAATGCATAAAAGATGGTTGAAACACAATAATTAATGTCAAAGATTTTTCCTTTTTAAATTTGGAAAAAGGTATAATTTTGTATTCCAATAACAACTACATGATGATTTTCCCCCCCATCATCACAGTGTGAAGCGAAGTTGCAAAAAATAGGTACCCACGCCGACAGATTTTTGGGAAATAAATATTAGCCGTATAGGGGTGCCTCCTTTTGCTTGGTGTTAAAGACTACTTCAGAATTGGGTCCTCTCTTTCACTGTTTCAGAGAGCACCCAGAAACGTGGATCTAATGCAAGCATGCGTGCTGAGAAAAGAGTTATGAATATGATAGTCTGCTACATATTAAATCTAAGCATAAGAGAAAACTTAAATTATGTGACTACTACTACCTTGAAATTTTGAAATCCATACAATCAAACTGTATTAATACATTAAAGTAATGTCATTTACTCAAATAAATCTTCTACAGCACTGTCTACAACCTTCTTTATAACTCACAAGATCATAATTCAAGATTTTTTTTAACAGCTCAAGTCATTCAAAAATGGAAACATAGATTAATTTCCTTTCTTTAAATTGTTTATTAAAGGCTTAATGTTGCTCGTGGACAAGATGAAAAATCGTGGGCAAGGACGTAAAGTGACGTATAAAGAGAACATTGATTCAACAACCAATACAAATTTTCAAACCATGACTGAGGAATTTAATAAACATTTTGGAGCTCTATTAGAAGAAAAAGTTTGGTTGAAATTATCCCTAAAAAAAATCACTTACTAACAATTTAATGTTAAATTAGCTTTGGTTAATATAAACCTTTTCTCTAACAAAATTAACCTGTTAGTATAAATATTTTATATTTTATTAACAAATAATAATATTATTAAACACACACACACACACATATATTATCAATGCAGTACTAATGTTAATAATAATACATTATTAGATAGTGTAAAACTTTAAAATTTAATTAATTATTTTGTTTGATAATACTTTTTTGCAAGTACATTTTAGATTTTAATTGCAATTATAGTGGTCCTCCTGCTTTCTTCCACCACCCATGATCCTTCAACATCTAATGATAACTTTGTGAATATGGCAACAAGACCTGCAAGAAAATGCTTATATTATAAAGAGCAGCCGCACTAATAAGTTCCTAACAATTGGAAAATTTGAAAGCAAAATTTGTCAAATGCAAGCCACAAGGAAATACAAATATAAACAGGTTTTTATATTAAGCCATTATTAAACTGAGACTCAAAGCAATACATCGTGGACTATTGTGCATTGTTATTTATGTTTATTTTGAGTTGTCAAGATGAGTATAGTTTAAGAGTCCCTGTCTTAAAATTCTAATAATAACTTATCTTCCCAATGTGACACAGTTTAACAAAATGGTGCCAAAAATTGAACACGTCTTCATATACTGATATTTTATTAAGAACCAACCAACCAAACATTGAATGACTTTTATATATTATTTATTTATATTTAATTTATTGTACTAATATATTTAGTTTCTTACTATGAACACACATTAAAAGGATTGATTTTGTATATATATCATGCAGAAGAGCGAATCATACACGATACGCAAACACGCAAGAGCGAATCATACATTATTGCATGAAATTATGAAGGAATGACAGATATAACAATAAATAATATAAATTTGACGCAACTGGGTTTCAAACAAAAGGAAAGAAAAGAAAGATATGTGCAATTTGGAAACAATCACACATCCATTACAATTTTATGATAAATTGGAATTTTTTTATATATATAGTGATGACCTATGTGTCACGCACACGTTAGTGTTGGAAGTCTTCCCATCAATCCCAAGCTGTCTCAGATTAACTAAAGAAAATTTGACTTTACAAAAAGTTATATATTAAATAGTGTATACAGGTAATTTAGTGGGACAATTGAAAACATTTACTGGGATTGTGTTGTCATCCTCAGCAGTAAAGAGTAAAGACCAAGAAGGGACATCTTCGTGTGACCTACGACATTAAGCATGTTGCAGAAGCGCAAACTTTTTTGGCAAGGAAACCTTCTACATCCAATCTTGTTTTCTCTCTTTCCTTTTTGACTTTTCATACGTGAAAATTCCTATCTACTAATACTGGATAAAACATGCCCCATCTTTTTCCTTTTTAAAATTTTTTAATCAAATAATGGCAATTTATAGCTGAAAGAATAAGGAACAAAAAGGAAATTTGAATCAACTTTTGCATATCTTAAAAAACTTGGACACATAGTTTTAAGAGTTTAAATTTGAATAGTCACTTTAAAAATAACTTTACATATAACCCCACTTTCAATTCAAGGAATTAGTCTCATAATTATATTTATATTAAATTAATTGATGAATATTTTATGCATTAGCGTTGAGGGGGATTACCTGTTGATGATGTGGGTCAATTACAAGGTAATGTTTAGGCTATGAAGCATGCAAAGCATCTGAACCACCTAATTCCAATAAAAAATATTCTATTAGCAATTAATCTGTAACTAAGTTAACACTAATTGAAGTCTTTTAAGACTTGTACGTAATGTTAATGTGATGTAGCTACATTTACATTTATCTTTCCCTGACTCAAACGATTGCACCTTCAAAGGAAGGTTCTATTTGAATCTAAAGACTGCGACATCTTCGCTCTGCAAACCAAACTTGATCGTTGTTGCTCCCTCATGTCAGAGTCTTTTGCCCCTAACTCATTTTTTATTTGTCGTATTCCAACACCGACAAAAATAGTGTGCAAAACAGTGTTTTCTTTTTGTTACGAATCGACTTTTATATATTATGGGGAATGATATTTTCACATCTCATTAAGGAGTGCCACATAGACGTGAGAAAAATAATTAAAAATGATAAATGATATAGAAGAAAAAAGAGAAAGAGACAGTAGATAGAAATCAGATATAATATGTATTGTTTATCATCTTAAAAAGTAGGATGATATTTTTAAATATTTTATTTTTAATTATAAATATTTTTATGAAATGGAATAAATAATATATACCAATTTATATTATTATTTTGATGATTATAAAAATTAATAGACGACAGATTATGAAAAATATCTGGGATAAAAAAAATACTTATAACCAAGCTGAAAAACTAAAATACTGCTCGAATTAGAGTTTCAAAAAATAATACTAGCTACTAATAATAAACTAATTAAAAAATTGTTTAGCTTAAACAAGTTTTTAACTAGTAAAATATATTTTCAACTTACTGAAAAGTGTTATACCATATACTCTTAGTGCACACACGGATATGTATATGTAACTAAGTAAAAACCATCTTATAATGTGATAATTTATACTTCGTAAGGTTCAATTTTTATGGATGATAAGAATTTACGTACTAATCCTACAAAATAAACTTAAAAAGCAAAAAAAAAAAAAGACACGTATTGCAAGCTAATCATGGAAAAGTGAAAGAAAAATGTGCGGAACTTTGATCCCTCACTTTTCCAGTTCTAGGGAAAAAACATCTCACACTAGTTTCTCAATTTTAGAAAATTGGAAAATTTTGTGTTCCAGAAGATGGAGAACAAAAACATACAATTTGAATTTTGAAGCACTCACTCTCTCGAAAAGAGTTCAAGGAAGTTCAATTTTCTATAACTGGATATGCCCAAAAAGGTATTTATTTAACATAATAACTTGCTAATGAACTTTCTGGGGATTAAGTAGCCAGAAGAGGGTATGTCTGAGTAGGTAAAGAGTATTGGTATTGCCATATGGCAGCATCATGGGAGAAGAATCCCAAAGGCCCCATAGGATGCCCCATGATTTAAAACTGTATACATTTATTTTTGGCCAGCATGTGTTAGTATTAACAAGTAACAGCAACAGCAAAAGTTACACCCTGGGAAAATTTTACATGTATTATTGATACTCACTTTTGCAATTAGATGCTGAGGTATGCATAGATAACACAACTCTAAAAGTATCACATGATATGATCTCTCATCATTCAGTTGGACAAATCCACTAGACAGTCACAGTAAATAAAGAACTCTTCTCACTTCAATCTGTCTATACAGCCCAACATTTCTCTTGTTAGCAGTTGACTATACTTTGAAATCAAGGCTATTAAAGCATCAATATTCAGAAGCACAAATAATACACACAAGTACTCATGCTCACCAACCTAAAACTGTAAGAACCTCAACCAGCACATGTAAATGAAACTAACATCACAAAGATGCTACAATGTACACCAGGTGCCAAGAAGGAAGTCAATTGCCAAAGGAGACGTGGGTAGGGAACACCGAGGCATTGCATGGGACTAGACCACAAGTCAGTCGTGTCGCATGGTCACTATTTAGTTCAATGATTTGGCAATTAATGATTCAACTGCACAGACATCTCAATCATACGATAAAATCACATTGATCTGCTCAACATTCCGGAAGGGAGTGTGCAGAGGCAAATGGCGAGAAGCTTGCAGCTGACTCGCTATATCGAAGAGGATGCTGTTGTTGACTGGATGAACCAATAAAACTTACTGAAGCAGTGCTTGGACTTGGAATGTGTGGGGACAAGTACCTTGAGTTAAGAGATGACAGAGATGGGTAACCCATGGAACGTGGTGAATTCAAGTGAGAAGCTAGAGATCTTTGGGATGCATTCCTTAGATCTACAGAGCTTCGGCTGATGCTTAGGGAGGGGGATTGACGGTAGGACCTGAGAGAGGGCGGAATACAAGGGGTACTAGCCATAGAGTGGTTGCGAGAAACAGATGGGGTACGGGCAATTTGTATTGCTGAAGATGAAGCTAATGATGACCTCACAGAAGATAAGACAGAGGACGCCATAGATGCTGGGCTTGATGAGAGTAAAGGTGTGGATTCTGAAGGTGGTGGATCAGTTAAGCCAGTTCTTGCGTCACGCTTACAAACTGGACAAAAGGTTCTCCATGAAGTAAGCCAAGAATCCACACAGGCAGCATGAAACTCTGCCAATTACACATTAGAAAAATGGAATTAGTATAATCCGTAACATAGTCATTACTTAACATGAACATAATGAAAATATATTAGCAATTCAATTACAGGCTGCAGAGATCAATCTCGTTAAGTAACAACAGATGGATAGCAGCAGGAAATGTATTGCAAAATCCAAAACAATGAACAACTATATAAAGGTTCATTTCAGCCTTCAGAAGGCTGAAAACAATACACAAGGACATTGTGTTAAAAAAAATACAACGAATAGTAGCAAAGTTGGTGCTGTAAATTGAATCCTTTTCAGGGTATGATTTATGAATAAAGATTTCTCTTTCATCCAGTGCATTCCATGATAAAAGCTTAATTAAAAGTTCGATGGATCTTTTGGATTTCCAACTGGATCTTTCAAGGTGATAACTTATCAGTGAAAAAGTGGAAAATGGGTTTACAAGAAAACACTCCAGAAGAATCCCAAGTCTGAATTCAGCGATCAGGATTAGAAAAAAGAAGTGGGTAGAATCAACTATCAAGTAAGAGCAAGAGGAACTTCAAGTTGCAAGTGGATAGAACCTAGAAAATAGAGGTGCTCCCACTTTTCCATTTTAAAAAATCCCATTAGAAGACTTCTTTTTGATAAAATAATTACAATTGATGGATGTTGAAGATGTCACAAAAAAAAAAGTGAATAGTTTTTACAAGCTGAAACAAGTATGGGATTGTTCTTTCCATTTCAACAAGGATCAAGTTTGTTGATCAACATCACTGATACAAATTATAATATAGTCAAATAAAAAATGTCGGAGATTTTAAATTTCAAATTGTTAAAGTAGAGGTACGGCATAGGCAAACGCCACAGTTCAAAATTCAAACAACTAAATCCATAACCATAGTTTGTAGAGAAACAGAGGGGTGGGAGAAGCTGGAACACGAGTGTAAGCCCCCATGCAAAAGGATATCCCGTTTGTGGTCTCCAAGCAATGTAAACCATTTCATGACATACTATCACCCCAAACTAACATTCATTATATACTTCTCTCCAATGAACCCAAATAGGATGGCTGGAAAATAGCCACAACCTGCCTCATGATCAAGGACATCCTTATTTACTAGGTAATGGTAACTGATATAACACCAGAAGTCCAGCAGTTTACAACTTGTGACAGGTTATTGTGTGTCTGAACAAAAAGATCAACACCAAATTCAATAATCAACTGCACAAAGTACCAGGAAATTCGAGTAGACCAATGCTCCCAGAAGTATATAAGCGCATTCACTGAAGATAGATCAAACCAACAAAATAATACACTGAATTTGAAAAAAGAAAACAAATTTGGCACAGGAACACTTACTGTGACAGCATGGTAGAATCCTGAGCTTCTCACCAACACAATAGTCTTCAAGGCATATAGCACATGTTATTGATGTACAGTTGTCTTCCAAAACAGCAGTAAATATCAAACTTGGCATTGCTTTCACTAGGCGACTGCTCATACCATGAAATTCACGGACAAGAGAAGCTCGAGGCCTTTCTCTTCTTATGCGATGTCTACGAACAAAGAAACAAGTGGCCAGCACTGCAGACATTGCTAGCAGGGAAATAAATGAAATTGCCATGATAGACCATGCTGAGTTTTCAAAAGTCGGAATGAGCCATATTTCCACATCAGTCAACCCAGCATATTTCTTCAGTATTTCACCTGAAGCTTTTGATACAAATACAGCATGTATTCTTATACCAGCAGAATTACCTGCCACTAAAACTCAAAATAATTGTGCATTAGAAATTCTCAAAATAGGACATAGGTGTGTGCAAACATATACAATGATATTAAGGAAAACAAAAAGTCTCTCCAACAATAAATTATCTTCAACAGCCTTTCTTTTACTATAGAATTTACATGCTTGATAGGTGTAAATTTTTTACCCATATATTGCATACAGATTATCATCCTTTCCATAACCTTTACCTTGATAATACATTTCATCAACTATACATAAACCCCAAATACATCCAAAATTTGTCCAGAGTCCTTAGACTGTTGTTCACTCACTGCTGGCACCCCGTTTTCAATGATCAAAAAGAATATCACCTCTAGGGAGAACAACGAACATAATTCTTTCTCTAATATTCCATTTAAAATAAGATAGAAACCACCAAACCTAATATATGCCTTCCAAGTGATATCATATTAATTAACCTGTTTTACAGCAACTTCTAATATAATCTCATTTTGGAATTACATAAATCATAATTAATGTAATCAACAACTACCACAATTTCAAAATGTTGAATCGTTACTTTATATACCAAATCATTTTGTCATAACCAGTGCGTATACATTATGACTCAAATTATCTTTGTTGATTGGTTGAAAAAATTATGTTTAATGGCAATTACATGTTGGAAGAGAATGGTCAACAATAAAATGTAGCTACAGGAAGGAATTATCATTACTTGCAACCAAGACACCGCCATCTTCATTATCATAGACAATTACAGCTTTGAAGCCAGCCTTTTGTGCCCTTCTGACTTTTTCCTCAAAGCTACATCCCCCTCTAACCACCAAAGCAAAAGTCGAACTCACATTGGGAAGGTGTTCAACATTATTTGTTAGTTCTGTACAAGCATCAAGCGGCTCTGCCAAATATAAGACCCCATATTCTCCAGAACCTTTGACTGTCGGAGCTGAAACCAAAAGACATTCATGTCAACAAAAAAGAGACTCAGATCAAACTAACATCCGCACCGGCACCATCATAACACGCTAAACAATAACAGTAGAACAAGAACGTAACATCATACATACATTCTTCTTCACTACCTTTCTTCCCACAAAAGAAACACAAATAGTAAATAAAAAATATATAGAATTTCACTTTACGATGGTATGCATCTGCTTTAAGCACATGCTACCTAAGACCATACTCGCATTCCACACATCGGCATCTACTGTTCGATACCTTCCACCATCATTATAAAACCTTTCTCCACTTTTTCTCCTCCAATCTACCAACAATTTTCCCTTTTCAGATGGAATTTTAAGTTATCATAATATGGCAAAAAATTCAGTTAAACCAGTACCCCATTGACAAAGCTCCACCAAACCACTATCCCTTATCCAATACTCATATGGCCCAAGAACCAAAATCAAATCTTACCTTAACCAAATCAGTTTATATACAAAACACACTAACACCTAACTTGGAAGGGATGGAGGAAGAAATAACCCAGAAACTCACCAAAATTAGCTTCAATATCATCGAAGGATAGAGTGATATTGTTCCCAATCAGCACAACCTTGGCGGAAGCCATAACAGAGAGAGCCACCAAAGAGAAGAAAAACAACAAAGGAAGATTCGAATTACCCATCAGAGCAAAAGATTCGAAAAGCAGAAAAGCACAAATTTTTGGTTGAAAATCATCAAAAGCAGAGAGAGAAGGAGAAATTGGGATTTCTGCAATTTAGGGTTCTGAAAACGCAGCAAAAAAAAATAGATACATCAGCTTCCATCTCAAGAAGAAAAAAATAAATCTTCTATTCTCTTTTATTCCTTGATCCTCTCCGCTCTGATTCAAATTGATCGCTAATAATGCTTTGACAGCAAAAGGGGAAATATAAATATCAGCAAATAAAATACCAATCAAATTGTACCAAAAATTAAAAGTTTATATCAGAATATCTTCAGAATTTCCAAATATCAACTTTGATCGAAGATAATATTACAAAACAAATATTAGTAACATACTCTTCACATATGTTATAAATTTTATTAAAAATAAAATTATATATTTAACTTTTTTATTTTTAATTTAATAATTTTTATATTTTTATAACTTTTGATAAATTTTAACTGATAATTAAAAATGGATTAAAAATTATGTGTTCATATTATAATGTGACTGAAGAAAATGGAAATGATTATAAAATGAGCCAATTGTCGTTTGTTTGTTATCAGAACACCAATAAATAACAGCTTAGCTTTTAGTCTTCGTATCAAATTTTAGTAGTTCATGTTCTTTATATAACATTTTAAAAATAAAAAACGGTGTTTCACTTCAACCTAAAATAAGCAATTGGATTCAAAAATATATATAAATCTAATTTACAACCTGTTAAATATGAGATGCAATACCTACCAACAAAGATCGTTAGTAAACGACTCATACTGAGTTTAAATTTTTATATATGTAAAAAATATTTAGTGATATTTATTCATTATATTTGAATACGTGACCCAAGTCATATATAAATTAAACTTATGGTAAACTAAAAAAATATATATGAGACTCAATTATTAAATTCTTTAGATTATTTAATTTTAATCAATCATATTTATTTCTAATTTATAAATAAATAATGTCATATTTTCATTATATTTTTTTAATAATTTGACAAAATTTTGATGTGAAGATTTACTTTGATTAACTTAAAAGTAAGAAGATAAAACGTTAGTAATAAGAGTAAATAAATTAAATTTATACATAAATTGTAAAAAAAATATATAATTAATTTAAATAATATTAAGTAATCGTTGTATTAAATTTAACTTGTTTTTAAGGACTTGAACTTTTTCCGAAAAAATAATTATCCTTGCGTTAAGAAATTAGAGACGCATCACTTCAATCAACTATTTATTAATATCTTGTGCAGGTATTGATCTCAATCTTATTATTATCTTATGAAATTAAAAATTGTTAAAGTTGATTAATTAAGAAAATGTTATCGTATATCTCACCGCCAAAACAGAACAGGGGTACCTGTCCAACGTCAAATGATGATTTTTCTTAATTAACAAAATGGAATATTCTACCATCCAAAAAATAAATGTCTCTGGATGCAAATTATATTCGTTTACATTGTTTATCAATCTTCACACATTGAGCCAATAATAATAATAATAATATAAACAAGTAATTTACTGCTATGATATATTTATAAGTTTTAAAAACTTTAAAAAATTGTCTCTTGAAATACTACATGTCAATACAAAATGGCCTCAATTTGATTAATAAATGCTTCTCTTTAATAAATAAATAAATAAGATAACCAGCTTACTGATATACATGTCAATTTTCTAGTGTTATATTTTCTTGTTCAGCGACATCATTTGTAACTTTCTTTTCCCGAAGCACAGGCATTTATAACTGGACATGTGTTCATGTTTTCTTACATGTGCAGAACGTGGACTCGTGCCCTGCTTTGTTCTAACACTAATCATTTTCCCTCGAAGAACATTGAGCCGAAACAATGTTCGGAACAAGGTTTTTCTAAAAGAATGATAAACAAAGCTCAATAAATTTAGTATAGAAAATCACAACCTCTATACCGCATTTTATTTTTACATTATCTATATTTTATTATGTGTATAGTTTTTATTGTTTATTATTTTTAATGCTGAAGTTGAAAATTAGTAGAAGAACATAATTTGAAAACACAACATCAATATAGTGTTGAATCGAAATAGCGCAGATTAAGTTATAAAATGAATTGTGAGTGTATAAATTTAATTTTGTATAATATTCTCAGTTCTTTTCTCATTCTTTGATGTTCTCCTCCTTAAAAAGTCTTTTGTCGGAATAGATTATTGACATAATTAACCTTAAAAGCTGCTTTAATTAGTCCCTTTGCATTGACGATAGTTGTTGGAATAATGGAATGGCTGAATCAGCATGCTAATCATATATTTCTCTAAGTGCACTGGTGTTTCCTTGTTTTGGTGGTTTTGGTTTTTGTCCCTATTGATTGCAAAATTATATATGTCATCAAGGTTATCCATTGGTTCAATTATTATTATTATTTGTAAGAATGAGTTGGTTTTGAACTAGCTCATCAACACAATAGAAGGATGATCACCAGTGTCAAGGGACACTGGGTCAAAGGAATCACACTAGATAAGTTATATTTTTATAAGAAAATCAGAATTTTAACTTTTAAAATTGAATTTAAAGAATTAATAATAGTAATATTTTATTAAAAATATTATATATTTATTGTACTTTTATAACTTTCATAAAACTTTATTTCTTTTAAATTATTAAACTTAATTTTAAAAATTAAGGTTTACAAAACCTTTTTTTATGGTAGAAAAGCAATTAGAATTTAAGCTTTAAAATTGCTAATATTTACTCACTTTGAATATTTATCCTATTCATTATTGTAATATATTTTTTACAGGTATTCAGTATCTAAAATGAAGTAATTTTTTCCTTTTCTCATTTTCCCTTCCTTCTTGTATTTATCATCCAATGATTAATCTTTTTTCTTTTTATATTTTATTATCTTCTAAAAATTTAAAAATGAAATGAACGGTAGAAAATCATCTTGTTTTCTCTCTCTGATTGCAGAAGATCCATACTAAAGTGCAGAGGATCCATACTGAAGGAAAGCCATTAGTGCCCATAAGTTTTTCTTCGTCGTTTTTCTTTCTTCACTCTTTCTTGTACCAAATAGAGGCAAGTGTCAATGACCAAGTTGAAAACACTTGCAGCAAGAAAAAGAATTTTTCATTTTTCCTTTTTTCTTTTTCTTTTTATTTTGGTGAAGGATGCAAAATAAGTTTCAATCTCTGTATTTGTTATGTTATATTGGCCTCGTTCAACTCTAAAAAATGCAGCACGACCTATCCATGCAAACAAGTCAAATAAATAGGAATATCTAGGATGGATGTAAATAATAATGTGTTAACAATTTCATCATTGTCATCCTTAAAGTAATAAATAAGCCTCTTCCGGTAAAGAAATAACTAGTGAAAAGGTGTAAATCAGAAAGCTTGAGTTTTGACAGTACTCAATATTATGGAAATAAACAAAAATATATACACATACCAATCGGTACGGTAATTCTAAAACCAGCTATATATTACTGATAATGTTCGCTGATTGTACACGTGAATTTAGTCTTCCTTGTCTCCTGGTTGATACTCTCTGCTTTCAGCTTCTGAAACAGAGCTGCTTGCATGATCAACCTGAGCTTGATTTGGCACTCGATGGTATTCATCGCCTCCTTTACTAAAACTCTGTATAAGCATTAGTACTGCAACTACAAAAACAACGATGTACACCATTCTAATGTCAAAAGATCGTTGGATAAATCGCATGAATGAAGGCTCACTGAATGGTTTCTTTATGGTTCTTCCTTCCCTGTATCCTTCTATAAATTTTGTGATTTGTGTTGCCTGATCCTCCCCCTCAATGCTTTCTGAACCAACAACCTGAAAATTATATAAAAAATGGGTATAAGCTTCCCACATTGTCGAAATCTAAGTACAAATGTATACAGTCATCAGCAGATTTAAGTTTACATGACTTGATATAAACAATTCATGTTACCATGATAGCAGACCTTTGATGGCAAAATCAACATATCGTGGAAGTTAATCAAGTGTATTAATTAACAGGTAAAAGGATGTTTGAAAGTTCCAAATGTATCTCAACTCTCCCAAGTTATATGCTGAAATGAATTTTAACAGTCACACTAATCATAGGGATATTAAGTTCCAGGTTATTAATACAGGGCATGCCATTCTTGCTTCCACTTCAGAACGCTGGTATATCCTACATATAAATTATCAAAAATACCTATTTTACATGACATGAATGACAGAATATAGATTTTTCTTCTGCATCACTGCTCATTTTGAAAATACACAAGCATATACCTATAGATCCAAATTGATAAGAATAAGGCATGCAATAGAAGAGTATCAGAGTAAGAAATAAAAAAAGGAAAAGCCTCAAAACCGGCATGTAAATAAGAAAATTAGAGATCTCATTACATGTATCATTTAGCGAACTACAGTTAGGATTAACAAAAACAACTTTTGAGAGTAGAGACCATAGACTTACTGAAAGGTAATCATCACTTTTATCCCAAACAACCATTTTTGGTAGTTTAGCCTCAATATCAAATTTTTCAGCAAATTCTTCCAGCTGTTTAACACCAACGTAACCAAATATTAAGTCACGATTTGCAGATGCAGCAGCCTTCAATAACTTAATCAGTTCTTTGGATCCTTCTTCATCTTCATCCTCAACAATTGTCAAAACTATTTTCCTACCATCCGCTTTCATCAACTTAAGAGTGTCATGGGATACAGGCACAGCCAAAGGAATCAGGTTTTGTTTTACAAAATCTTCCAAAAAATCCTCTGTTTTAAGAAAACAAAAACATAACTGATCAAAAGATTGCTGCAACGATGTATCAAAGTTAAAGCATTTAAAAAGCATATGAACAAAGCAAATATTTTCCAATATAACATAATTGGGGAGAAGGAAAAACAAAATATATTACAGTACAATTCCAGAAGTGCGGATGAGCACATCATACTAACTTCTAGAGAAGCAATTAAGGCATACTAGATTAATAACTAACTTTCAAGATCAAATTTTATTTACAAGGGAGGGGGGAAGCATCATTGCAGTATTTGAGTTCTTAAACTTACTTTAGTTCCTACCATGAAACAAGAAAGGCCTTTCAGATGAACCTATTATATGTTAAGCTTAGATCTCAGCCTCAGTCAAGTTCCCTAGGTAATTTTATCATACTTTGTTTAATTTACAACATAGTTTGATCTAGTCCGAAGAAACCCAGAGCAGAAACACAGATGGAAGCCATAAAAGTCTCCCCATCTCACAAAAGTTGCAAAGAATAAGACCCAGGGCTACAGGTTCTATCACCATTCAGTCAAGCAAATTAACAAACATTTAAAAATGTATCTTAGTTCCATAAAGCCGTACAAATTTTATTCCTCCAAAAACCTGGATAATAGGTATTAACTACTAAGTGCTCTAAAATAGCCAGACAAACCAAAAAGTATAAAAAAGATTACTCCAAGTCTCCAACACTTCCAAAATATCTTAAAATGCAAAAGAAGATAACTTCATGACTACTAGTTTCTTCATCGCAGGTGTATATATATATATTCTTGGGGATCCTTATCAACTATTTAATGATTGGCTACAAATGATTATACATAGTGGATCGGCTATGAATGATTATAATTACAGGATTGACAATAATATTTCTTTTAATGGAGAAACTTCCCAATATCTTACAAAGGTTTAATAAAATAACCAAGTGAAGTCAGCATGATCACGATATATATGGATAGTCTTAGAGATATAACCATCATTATTGAGACTTAACTAGTATTTAGATTTTAGAAGAGTTTTTCGTTGACATGTGCTTGGCTCCTCTTTGACCAAGTGGTTAGGAGTTTGATCCATGCCAACTCCATTCTTTGTATTGAAGTCAAATATCAGCATAAAGTAAAATGAGCCTAAGCATTTAAACTAATTTTACTATCAAACAATTAATAGATACAAGCTGTGCTCTAACAATCAATGTTGTTAAAATCACAAGATTGTACGATCTTACGATTTGGACCCTCCCTCGCAATCTTGATCGGAACTAGGATCGGAACTACAAGTGTCCTTGATTATCTATGACATAAACTAACCTTCAAAGGGGCCGTAGAATGTGCTCCGTTCATTGTACAGTGGATTAAGGGAAACCAATGCAGGAATCTTATCAAAGTCATACAATACCATAAGATCCTCCGAAAAATCCTTTGCCACAGAAAACCACGCATTTTTCTTATACTTTATGCCTAACTTTTCTATTACCGAATCATTCAATCCAAATCCTATATATATCGGGAAAAAAGTGCCAGCTTCTTGAACAAACATATTCACAGCAGAATCTGAATCAAGAACGGAAACATCAGAAGCAGAAAATTTCTTCAGATAACGAACAAGCAAATCCGCTTTCCTTGGTCCACGGTATTCAGTGGGAACGCCATGATTAAACAGCAATATGGTTGGATATGCACTACACAACACAACAGAAATATTCTTAAGTTCATTTCACTAATAAAAATAATTTGAACTTTAATTGTTTATGAAAGAGGAAGAGAAAAACGTTACTCGACTTCAAATTTTTTGGCAAGGCGTGAATGCTTTTCTGCATCTACTTTCGCTATGATAATTGGTTCCTTCAAGACAGAAAGTACAGGTGCGGCTGCATCTAACTGTAAGAAATGAAGAAGATCACAAACGTAAATGAGGAATGTCTTAGAAAGTAAAAGAAAAAGATGATTGGTGTGAAGGTACCTCGGGAGAGAGACGCTTGCAGTGGCCACACCAGGGAGCGTAGAAGTCAACCAATATGTGATCGAAGGAAGAAATGGCGGAATCGAAGTTTGATTCGTCCAGTATCAATACTTTCCCATCTACGGAGAATGTCTCAGACTCAGCACTATAACAATGGATCATCAACAACGCAACACTATAACAAACCAATGAAACCCTATTCTTCGTCATCTTCTCTTTCTCTTGTCTTGGGTTGGATTTGGATCCCAACACCGTAATACAACGAATGCTGAACTCCCTTTTCTGTTAACCTCTGTTGTGTTTCTTACTCTGCTTCGTTTTCGTTGTCCATGGATTCTCTGAGATTAGATCAGATAGATGATGGGATTGAACTTAGTTTCACCTCACTGTTCAAAACATTAAAATTATTGACCGTGTCTAATTGGATATTCAATTTTAGTAATCTGTACTGTCTTATTAAATTAAAATAATTTTAAAATAAAAATAAGGATATATTGTATATTTTAAAATTAAATAAAATTAAAATATTTTATTTATTAAATGATGCTAAATTAAAAAATAAATTTTTGAAATTCAAAAATATTAAAAATTTTATTTATCTTTATTAATATACTGTGCCAAATTTTAAAATAAAAAAATATAATTCAAATTAAGATTAAATAAAAATATAATAATAATAATAATCTTAAAATTAGTTTATTTAAAATTGGTATCTTCAATTTTCTTTTTGTCTAAATTGGTATTCTTAATAATTGTGTTTAAATCGATTAAAATTACTCTAAAAAAAATTTCTACTAAAATTCAAATTCAAAACTTAAATTAAGATGAGATAACTTTCAACTAATTTATCCGTGATAAAAAAATATCTTTTTGTTAAGTAAAGAGAAAAATATTTAATAACAAATTAATTAAAAACTAAATTAATAAATTGAACTAATTGTTTTTATTTTTATTTTTTTTCGGTCCTTTTATTTGTTGTTCTCGTCTACCTAGGATGTTAACTTGGGCCCAATTTGCATTAGCGTTCACTAAATTTAATTCATTACACGACCAAAAAAATTCCTCAATATTGTTAACCATATTTACTATAGACATTTAAGGCACTTTGATTAATTTTTATCAATAACAGATTAAAATGTTGATCAATTTAGTCTCTAATGATGTTTAAAAAAAAATGATTTGATAATTCTTTTCATTTTTCAAGGATAAAAATAGTTATATCCATCTTTGTAAGACTAATGAGACAAATTTCAAGTTTCCAGACTAAAATGATATTTTGCCCACTATATGATTGTAGTCAAATAAGCCACCCCTTATCCTACCTAGATGAATATATATACCTTTAGAAGTTTCGCAAGATGAATACTTTTTACCATTTCAATATTTCTCCCCTTTTGTCAATCACTAGCTCAACGGCAGAATTGCCAAAGTGAAGATTGTGGATGCATTGTGATATTATATTATTAACTGCAAAACTAACAAATGCCATAATAATGATAAAAGAAATTATTCGGCAATCAATAGCTGCTATAACAATAGCAATTGTTTTTGTTATATTAATAATAATAATAACAACTTAACAGAAGAAATAAGAAAGAAACATAAAACTAGAGTTCGATGGAAATATTGTCTCCCAATGAATTATGTTCCTGAGAAGCGAAGATAAAATAAAGCTAAGGAATTGATGTCATTTATCGAAATACAAATGGTTACTTGATTCCGGATTGGGAAACTCAATCGTCAAAGTTCCTAGGGAGGTATGCACAATTTGAATCGTTCAGGGAAAAAAAAGAGTATATTATCTAATGTTTTAAGAAAATGTGCGGTACCTAAAGTATCTATTTCTCGTTCTTTCTTCAGTCAAAATCACGCAATAAATAAATAAATTATACTTCACCGGTGCAAATTTACACCCCTAAGAGACCAGGAACTGCTACAGGCTTTATAAAGTTGCGAATGGCGGCTGAACTTTCAAGCGAAGAGTGTGTAGTATTCCCAATATTATGTACGCCACGCAGCCAACCGGCCAAGCTCCATGACAGGGTATGCAATAGACAATTGACCAAGGCAATTAACCTCACTCCAACTTTACACGCTTAGAATTGGTTTCTCTCAACCATTCAATGCATTCATCTGCAGTTCCAGATGGATGGGCAAGTTGCCAAGCCATTGCTTTATCCAGCTGCAAGTGAAAATGAAACAGCAAGTGAAGACCTAAAATTTGAAGGCACTGCTGCGTACTCCTGTGTGTGAGTGAAAATGCACTAAGCAAAATGACTTACCCACTCCTTAACGAGCGGTCCTCCTCTGAGCTGTAGAACATTCATAACATCTTTGCCATTGATTAATTGTTTTATGTCCCATACTTTCTCAAGGCCTGCTACCCACAAAAATGTGTTAATTAAAATGTAATTACCTAGCAAACTACTTTGAGCATCACCAGCATAAAATAAACACATCTCTTGTCAAACAAAAACTCTCTTGTGTGGCATGATAAGCAATCAACCTTTTTCTTTAGTCTTGTTTTTTTTTTCACTATTTCTAATTTTCTAGACGTAAACTACCACAACAAAGTTCATCCACATTCACATTGAATCAAACTGTCACTAATTCAAACAGTTGCATGCCTGCAGCATCTAATAGCATTTTCAGATTACAGAATTGCCAATTAATCTTCACATTAACCACCTCATTTAAGCTGTCCTATTTTAGTTAACTTTTTATGTGACTGCACTGCAAGTGCAAACAAAGTTTTCCTACATTAGAACAAAGCTTCCAAATGAAAAAAGGGAAGGAAGAAAAGAATCAAAACCTAGATGTGCATTCAATTATTCCGATCAAAGAAACACATTGACAAATTTAGATATAACAGAAAAAGAAATACAAATTCAAATGCTCTTCAATTACAAGATTATTAATATGAATATGGATGATAGAACAATTGGAAGCTTCAGTAAATTTAAAGTAAATGCCAGAGACATTTGACATCTCCGAAAGATATAAAGCACAAGAGAAAGCAGGTACTGAAACCACAAGTTAAACACATAATATCACAAAATTGACAAAACAGCCACTAAGCTCACCTAGTTTGGTTATAGATTTCTCCACAGCATTAAACAGATCTCTTTGTTTGACCACCTGTGAAGAGTCATCCTTAATGTCAATGGGATGTAATATTGTGGATATCAACAGGGCAACTCGCCAAAAATCTTTAAGCTCTCTTAAGAGAAACCCTAAATAAATAAAATATAAAAGATCAGCCATATCATATACAATTCACAATACACAATTGCTTAATAGTAACTTCCTATACAAACAGATACAGAAGAGCAGGCAAGAATCACATTGCAATACTCCATCCAATTCAGTGCTCGTAATTTAGGGTATGTTTGGGAGGAGGGTTTTAAAGGAGAAGGGAGGGAAGGACACATTTTGTAATCTTAAATTAAAACAATTATATATCACTTATGATAATAAATGCATGATTAATACAATAAGTTTATGTCAATATATCAATTTATATCTTTTATTTTGAATAAATATTGATTTTAAATATATTTATTTAAAATATAAATTTTGTATTCTCCTCTCCCCTCTAAAATCCTCCTTCCCAAACAACCCCTTAAGGAAATCCCATATCTTCTATTTCTTTCTTTTATTAATGCAGCTTAGTCAAGTGGCTTAAAAACATTTTATTACTTAACGGGCAAAGAAGTGTTACTTGTGGCTCGACCAAGGCAAAAAGTTCAACATAGGAAAAATGTAACTGCAAAGTGACTTAAAGGAAGCATGGCTAGTAGCTACATTTTACTACAAAACCAATAATAAAATTGAAACTACAATATATGGAATCATAAAAGCTACAGTCAGCAGCACAATATGTCAAATGAAAAAGCTACAACTGAAAAATAAGGTCAACAACAGCTGTCTGTCATGAAGCAACTATTCTAAAGGTTTAAGTTGTTAGGTGAAGACATTTAAATCGTTTTATATCGTATTTCTAGCATGCCCCTCATACAAGAGCTCCTTGAGCTTGGGCTTGAAGCATGGTCAATGCACATGTGTAGCTACCTTGTGCCGAAAATAAACTTTTTATCAGAAGAATGGGGACAGCAAGGATCAACCTCTAGACCCCTTGGTCATAAAAGCACTAATACCATATCATGAATCAACTATCACAAAAGCTTAAGCTAGTTAGGGGAAGATGAATGAAAAGTTTTATATTATATTTCTAACACTACCCAAGAAACAGCATATTGCTGATGCAATACCGAGATACAACAAGAAAACTGTACCTGTTAGTACCCGGACTCTAGAAGAGACAGGAACATCAATCAAGTCTCTCATCCAATCATGATCGACTAGTTGGACATCCTCACTAGATGCAAGACAAGGGATCAATGACAAGAATTTATGTGATGCTTGGTGTAAGTCAAGCACCTGGATTTTGAGGAACAATTACAAGCATATTAGCCAAAATAAATATCAACAAGTGTCAGTTAATTCAGAAAATAATTAAAGTTATAGATGTCATAATGCATCCTTTGGATTTTACCAGGGCTAAAAAAGTCAAGGAAACTGACCATTTCAGCATCCTTAGCTTTTCGCTTGAGAGACTCCCGGATAATATGACTGACAACAGGAATCTGTGATTCAGGATCACATATTAGGTTATTGAACCAACATGTAATTTAAAAAAATAACCACAAGAATATACACAAGGTACAATGATCATATACCCAATTGAACACAAACAGCACACGTATTCTGTCCAAGACAATAGTTCAAGCTGAGGAGCTCAAATATAACTGGATTGAGCTCAAGGCTTGACTTGGTTCAGTTCAATTCAAATCATGATTTTTAGCTTGCAGCTTAATATTGCCAAATCACAAATAGTACTACTACATAGAAAAAGGAATGGATGTGTACCTTCTTAGCTTTCTTTTCTTTGTAAGTGGTATATCTGAGTGGGAGAAACAAAGCCGTATAAAGTGTTAACCTTTTTTGTTCAGCCTAAAATACATAGGAAAAAGTCTGTATCAGCATAAAAGATAGCCAAACAAATCTAAAGTGATACAGGAATAACCATGCAGCTTCCTAGTATGACAAGAACAAATGTAACAAAAGAATATTTACCAAAATTAAAAGCTTAACTGATTACTTACTGTAAATGTTGACTCTCCAAGTGAATGGATAAGGTTCCATGCAGTATCCAAGCAAGAAATGCAATGCCTGGAAAATGTTTAAAAATTACCTGATCAGTATTACCAACAAAATTTATAGTAAAAAACAAAGAACTAAGCATGATTATAGGGTTTAGGAAGGGAGAGAATAAAATAGAGAACGGAGGCTTAACACCAGATTGATAAAAGGTGTATATAATATGATACACAATAAACACAAAGCAATCCTCACCTTATACAGATAATTAGTTCAACTATTAGTGCAATATTGCTAATAGGCAAGCTCAATAAGATGTCTAACCTATCAAATTAATGGCATTATAAACTTCAATTGCTGATCAATTGTTGATTATCAAATCACTTCACGACTACTAAATTATAATCATTTTAATGCAATTCATCCAACTTTATGGTTTTCATCTTTTTCCTCTTCAGCAGGTTTGGTTTCAGTCTATACGTTGGCTAAATAGAAATATACATATAGTATATAAGGTTTCAATAACTAGTGAGACGAGAAAAGGGAAAAAATGATGTCTTCAGTGTGAAATGTGAATACACTTAACCACATCTCAAATAGCACACAGTTTTAAATCAGAAGTTTATCACAAATATCTCATTGTCAATGTCCATCTAATACGTACTCTGTGCAGAAGATGTAAATGAGATTGTCATTAATAAATGGATTTGCAATCATTATGCACTTTCAACCATCAAGAAACATTTTACAAATTTATCTACAAACTATACCTTTCACACCCATCTGAAATGACAGGTTCATACTCAGGAGGAAGACTGAATACAATCCAAAACAGTGTCAGCTCACAAATATGAGTTATTGCTTTGACAGGTTGATTTCCAGATATCATAAGATCAATCTACGAACACAGATATAAACGTAAGAGAATAAAATCCTAGATTTTCAATACATACAAAAAAACATGAGCAACATCTTTATAATGAGAAGTAACAAGAGCATTCCAAAATTAAAAATAAAATTCTAAGCTATCTACACTGAAGTAATGAAGAAGTTAACTTGTACCTCCGTTCCAATGCGCTCTCTGCTAATTTTAGCAGCCAGAGCATCTTTCACATCATCACATGCAGCAGCTACTTTCAGATCTTCATCTAGAGTAAATTCAAATCTAGCACCTAAAAAAATACATGTCTCTTCATTATAGCAGGAGAATAAATTCAAACTTCAAATAAAAGCATAGGACAAAGATTCACAAGATATACAAAAAGAGACTGAGCATGAAAATTAGAATGTACCAAATCGAATAGCTCGAAGAACTCGTAATGGATCATCAAGAAATGTGGCCTTCGGAGGTAAAGGAGTCACTATCTTTCCATACTTCAGATCTGAGATCCCTGCAAAGTGTTGTCAGAGTTTATTAGATATGCACAAACAAGTAGCTCTTATTATATTAGGGGGAAAAAGATCCATTCTAACCTCTCTTAGTGAAATCTTCAACTGAGTCAGTGTTGATATTGTAGAATAAGCTGTCATGCACAACTAAATCATTTTAGGAAACAATCTTCCAAAATGGGTATCAAAAAGGACACAAATGATAGATCACACTCAAACCAACACACACATAACAAGAAATTGACCAGCATAATCCTTAATTGTATGATTCCACACACATAAAAACTTAAAATGCTAAGCATTTTTCTTTTAATAAATTTCTCATAGTCTTGTACTTCTTTCTTTAACCTATCTAATGATATGTTTTATAAAAGAAAAAAAAAGGAAGTACAGAAAGAGACCTGTTAATTGTCAAATCCCTCCTATATGCATCCTCTTCTGCTGTGCCAAATCTTTGCTGTTAGACATAAGACATGAAGTAATGTTTGCTGTTGAATTTGACTAGGATATGGAGGGGGAGGAAAATATTCTAAATGGCAAATACATGTTCATCTTAGCATATAATTAAGTTAAATATCAATAGAAGGGGAAAATATAGAGGAAATTTACCAACATAAAAATCAGACTTTTTGTTTCTTCAGCACCAAATTAATTGTGAGTACACATAAATGCAATTCCAACTTAGAAGAAACTAGAAAAACATCTTATCTGACCAAAATTTACCAAAGAAAACACTAATAAAAGAAATTCACGAGGGAATTTTTTTTATGCAAATTTTCAAGTATAGCAGAACAAGTAAACTTGTCCAAAATCAAAAGACAGAACAATTATGTACCTTAGAAGGAATGCGGCTATTCTCAGTGTATTCTTCACTCCTTAGGTTAACAAAATCAATCCATATATCAAACAAACGCATCCTGGCTGTTTCCAAATGTTTGGACTGGTCAGGATTGCTGCAAAAAGAATACATAAATAAATAATGTTTTACCAAAAGGGGGCAGAATGCTTACAGCATAAAATGGAAGTTCATGATTTACAGTTCAAGTTGACTGAAAAAGAATCCATAACCAGAGCACAAAAATAAGCCAAAATTTCGAAAGGAAAACTATAAGAAGCAAAGAAGAACTATGCTATGACTTGCTTCAGTTAGACACGAATAATCTAATCTAACTTCCAAACATAGCATTACTTTTTTTCCTTTTTTTAATTTATGATGCATCAGTAGTACTTTTCCACAGTGAATTTTCAATTTCTAAACGTGTAGATTCTTTCACTACAGTAAGTTAAACTGGGCAATTTAACAAATACAACCTAATTAAGCAACAACACCTGCACACAGAACACGAGAAAGAGAAACAACAAACAACATTGTCGTAAATACCTTTCGATAACACAAACTCCCTGTGCATCTTCGCCAATGGACAACAAGTACTCCCTCACCTTATCCACAAACTCAGTACCCATCATATTGTCCAGAGCGATATCAATGTCGTAGCAATCTTTTCCAAGAAGCTGCAAAACCAACCAAACAAATAATTATAATAATAATAAATCGACAAAGAATGGATTAGGGCTAGGTGTTATTGGAGTTAGACCTTGTCGCGAACCCAGCCGCCGGCAACTCGGAGCTGAGTTTGGAGGTGAAAGTGGTGAAGAGTAGCGAGAAGCCTATCGAAGATGCTCTTCTCCGTGGCGGAGAGTTCGATTTTGTGACGAACCGGCATCGTAGACATTGGTGCGGAAGCGGAACTACGAAACGACAGCGTCGTAGTTCGTAGGAGGGTTTTGGTTTTGGCGGGACGGTGAGAGTTGAGAAGAGGAAGAACAGTGGGCGTTTGTGACAGTGAGAAACCACTGAAACTGGGTCTGGGTTGCACCGCAAGAAACCTTGTCGCAGTTTTCAAAGCCACTCTCATTTCATTGCATTTCCTTTTATTCTTTTATAGTGTATGTCTACTGTGAGACTCAAACCGCATTGCATTAATATGTGATCCTTCAATTCGATAACTAATGGAAATGGATCGTTTCAGGGTAAATGGGTCGGGTTCTTACTCGCCCTGTTCCTTTATTATGACCTCAAGTTCTTAACAGGAATTGTTGATAGTAGGAAATTTGAGTCTAAATCGTTTCTATAAAATAAGAAACATTTTAACAATATTCAAACTCACTTGAGTTATTTTTAAACTTATACTAATTTAAAATATATATATATATATATATATATATATATATATATTAGACTTATCTTCATATTTGTGCTAGCTAATCCAAAAGTAAAAAAGAGTCTATTTTGCGATTGAGTTTGTGTTGCTAAAAAAATAAGAGAATAGTATTAAATATTTGAAAGTTGTTAAGTTATATTTAGTATTAAATATACATGCTTGATTTTTTTTTGTATTTTTTCTATGCATTGTTGTAACACTCTTAATATTTAACATCATTTTATTGAAGTGTCTTCAGGCTTTCTTAATCAACCAATATTGGACAGTCTTTTATCATGTGAATCTTTTAAATTCTTTTGTAAGTCAAGATTGTGATTTTTATGATTTATTCTTGATTTTAACTTATCATGTTTGGAGTGTTTAATATTATTAAATTCTATTGATTTCAACATGCATACTTAGATTGTTTCTGTTTATTTGCTTGCGTACTGCTATATTGCTATTAAAATTTAGCATTCTTTTATTTTCTAATTGTAACTGAACATTTCTTAATTTATGATTCATTGATTATCCTATCCAATATTTTTTAAAATGATAAAATTTTATTTCTAATAAATATTTTTAAAATTTACACTTTTAAAATAAAAAATAAAATGCTAGATTAGTTTAAACTAAATATATTTAAATTTTAACTACTTCTATAACCGTCATATAACTCAATTTAAAAGCAACATATATATATATATATATACCCATTTTTTACCTTCAAAACTTTATAGAAGGTACAAGCCCGCAAGCACATAAACTAGTGTATTTTCAAATTTTTTAAAAAAACAAAAAAATAGGAAACAAGTGTAAGTGACTGTGCACCGCCCAGTTTGTCGTTTTGATCATCCATAATGCCATCACATAAATTTTCGTCTCTTTGCCATGCATCCTATTATGCCAAGACAATTTCTTGCTTCACTCCACGTTTGTGCTCCGCTATAAGCAACCATGCTTAGTTCCAAATTTAACAATGAAAATAATATAAATATAAATATAAATATTTATTTTGTATTAACTCATCATATCATATAATCATTTGTGTACTAAAACCTTAGATAGTTGTGATCAGACTAATAAAATTATGTTAAAAATTCATAAGTAAAAAGATTCCCAACTATGTTAAAATTTATGTATTTTTTCTTCTCTTTTTTGTTTCTTTCTTTTTTTAATGTAGGTAAGATTCCAAGATTAAAATTGCAAAAGGCTTTTTTCTTCTCATCCTTAGTCAAAACCTTGTTATAATATGATCACCTAAAACCACACAATTCACAAACTTAGATACTGTACTCAATGTGATCACATAAAATCATACAAACAAACCTTGTCAGCTACTGGATACTCAGCTTCTTATTTTTATCCAATGTGAGATTTCTCTGCTCATACTTGACTTCAACATCCCATTACCAATTCGTACCACAAAAAAGCAACAACAGTTATAAATGTAACATTTACATTTTCCAATATATTATTGTCCCAAGTCATCCAATTCAATTTTCAGTAAGGTTTTGGTGCTTGCATTTCGTCCATGAATTGTCGTTGCAAGTTGACATATGCACGTGTTTCTCGAAAAATATACATCATCAACAAAAGACTAACACTAAGTGTAACCTAGATTAACTAGGTGGAGATAGCGTCAACCACTTTCTATCAGAAAAGGAGAAAAATAAAAAATAAAACAAATGGAATAATCCTTACAATTTCATCATCATCGCATGAGCTAAGCCTTTCTGATTTTGTGTCCTTTGTTGGTCCAATACTTACCTCAGTGAAACAAGCAGTGTGTGTGCCTCTGTACAGGTAGCAAGCCTAAATTCAATGTGTCAATCTGTGCCAACAAATTTAGCCAAAAACTCACATTAGCTTCTAGCATTTCTTCCCCCTTTTCTGCTAACAGCCTCACATAACCGGCACGGCAAGGTGTCGAGGCTCACGGCTCGTGTTTTTCCATAGTTACCTAGCACACCACACCTTCTCCATGCGTGGTATTCTGCATAGGCTACAGGATCATTAGCTACAGACTTCACATACGAAGCCAACTCTTCCAGAGAGCTGAATTTTCTACCATCAATTATTGAATGTGGAGGAACAAAATCCATGACATTTGGTGCACCAAAGTATATAGGAACGGCACCAGAGTCTAAGGCATAAAATAGTTTCTCCGTTACGTAACTTTCAATAAAAGTGTTCTCAATGGCAAGAACAAACTTGTAGTGAGACATGGCACAATGTAAATGATCCCACCATTTTGGTGTAACGTTGGCATCATTTGCACATTCAGGATAAAAAGAAAGAGCCATGTCTAGACCACCAACATTATTTAGGCACTTGCCAAATGAATGATGCGGCAGCAAGCCAAGGAGTTTCTTGGCAAGTTCATTCCTTTGAGAGAGACACCGCGATGAAGACCAATAAACAAGTATATCCTACAAGTGATAATATGGGATTAGGTTGCTATGAGTCTTACTTTATAATATGTCATTTAATATCCTCTGAATAAACTACTTACGCTGTTTTTATTATTAGAGACATGATAGTTTCGACCATTGTGAAATAGAGCACCAGCATAGGTTGACTGCACATCATCTTCAGCATGATAACTAATATATATATCCTCTCGGCCTGATCTCTTTCGGCCAGCTTCAAGATCCATGTATGCACGAAGCGGTTCTCCCATGTGCCTCTGAGATTAGAAAAATAAAAGGCATAACAAAGTGGTCCAAAGGCAATATCACAATATATGTTATTGGCAAAAGAATCTTGAAAGCCTAAAGCATATTCTGCAAGACAACCATGCATGAGAAACATTCGAGAAGGGTAGGCAATAAAATCATCTTGATTTAAAAAATAAGGAGACGGTGGGATTTTGAACAGCTTTTTAAATTTTAAAATAAAAAATGCTTATAAAACTCTTCTATAAAATGCCCTTGACATTAAAATAAAAAGTGCTTATAAAACTAAGTACAGGTTTTGATCCTTTACCGAAAATCCTTAACCTAATGCTTAGTAAAATAATCTGCCATTCAAGCTATGAAGGCACGACTATGGAAAAACCTTCCATATAGCAATGTTATCTCTTTCCAAACTTCTAGTTATTGATCAAAGGTTTACAGCAAAGGAAGAAAAAAATATTCTAGACTTAGTCAGTCTCTCAGTATAAGATGAAAAGGATATTTCTCCTTATCGTTATTGCAACCAGCTTTCCACGAATACCACTCCTTGTACTCCAAAACTACCATCGATGCATCATATTTCATATCACAGCTAGCTGTATTTGTAATATAATAACTTCCTTCTATTCATAAGAATGAATCTCAGCTCATCTATCTTCTCATATATATTTAAAAATCAGATAAATTTAGTCCAAATACGAAAAAAAAAAAAAAGTGATGCCCAATGCAAGTTATGCAAAGCCAGCATACTCGGTTACAATTTATGAACACATCCTTCTCGGCTAGCATATTGACAACTCAAATGTCCCAGATCCACTCCGAATCAAGTCCTCAACAACGACTTCACATCACTGAAGCTCAAACAAACTACGAACAGCAAAACCTCAGGAATTCTCACTATCAATGACTCATCCGTGAAAACTGAATAATTAATAAAAATCAAACTTCAAAAGAGACAATAACAGCGCAAGGATCACAAATCAAACTCTAGGTAAGAGCAGAGTAGATCACCTCGATGACTCTGCCAAAGCTTAGACACCCAAATTTCAAACATAGCACATCTAAATTCCAAAACAAACATTTCAATTCCAAAAGACCCAAATCATTGCCAACATAAAAATGCGATTGTGTTGACAAAACTAGTACACCCATTTGCAATTCCAACTAACACAACCAAAGCAACAAAACATTTCAACAAAAAAACCTTACCTGAGCCGGAGGCGTAGACGATTCAAACAACAAAGCATCAGGCTTGTCAGCAAGAACGGGCGATTTGGTCCACAAACAGCTCAACCCACAAGAGCAAGAGTACAAGTTATCCAAATTATCAGGAATCCAAGTCCACCCTTTGACGAAAACGCTAACATGGTTAAGTTTCAAGCCCCCACAAGCGGAATCACCGCCAAACTCCTGTAAAGAAGCGACCTTTGACCGGTTAAGGGGCACCCCATTTGGTTTTTCCCTGAACCGAACACAACCCACTTGCGAATCCCATTTTCTGAAGGCACCGACCAGATCGGTGAAGGGTTCTGAAGTGTGTGGCGTTATAGGGCGGCTAATGGGTGGGAGGGAAGAGGAAACGGAGGGGATGTGGAAGAAACCGGTGAGGAAGAGAAGGAAGAAGGTGAAGGCAAGCATGATTGTGACGGTGATGGTGTTGATGGGTTTGGGAGGAAGGAGCATGGTGGAAGGAGATGAATGGTGTTCTTCTATCTCTCTGTTGAAGAGAGAGAAGACATGGGGATGGGAATGAAGTGCAACGACTCAGTAGTTGGTTGGTCTCCTCTTCGACTCTATAACACGTTTGGATTCACCTTAAAATCGTTTAAACGGAGATCCATTTCAAACGTGCACTTTGGTTTTGTGTCAAAAACAAGTAGGCTTGAGTTTACTTTGACGCTGCATTGTCCTCGAACTCGCGTTTCATATATCAATATTTCAACAATCACGGATTTCGATCGTTTTTTAATATGCAGTTATATGGTACTTTTCAAATGGGCTTCTTAACTGAGGGAAAATCGTTCCAGAACAGGTTATAACGCGTGGATCCAGTGCAAATTTATTTTTGTCGTCACATGTTAGGGATTACTGATTTGTCAGAATAATTTTAAAAAACAAAATATTTACATAATGTGAAATTTAAACTAAATTACTTTTATAAAATATAAAATAAATTTATTTAACCTTTAAATAATTTTATATTATTTATTTGATAATTTATATTAAATTTCATGTAATTTAAATAATTTATATATTTTCGTTAAAATAAAGTGATGTGATAAAATATTTAATAATATTTTAAAATCAACTGTAAAAAGTTAATTGTGTATGTTACAAAAAATTATTAAATAAAATAATTGCGTAAATTTAACGATTAGTATTAAAAAAAATCTAATTCTATTATTTAATTTAAATTTTCAATTACTAATATCGATTTAATACATCAAAAATCTGTTCAAATAATATAAGTATTTCATTATTCTTCTTGAAATTAAATGAATATAAATATTTTATAAATACTTTTTGGGTTGAATAACTTTTTTACCTTGTAATGATAATAAGTTCTTTAACTTTTGATTTTAGTAACTATTACGTTTTTGAACGAGATCATATTTTCAAAAGATTATGTATATTTTTTATTCTCTTTGAAGTTAACAAACCATGATTTGAGAGTATTTTTCTTGAACGAGTTTTTTTTTTTTTAAGAATATCTATAATTTGTATTAAAAATTAATTTAAAAAAATTGTCTTATTAGTAAAAATGATAATTTATTTATTTGTCAAAGTGATGTTTTTATTTTAAAAAAACAGTGTGATTGGCTCCATTTTTTTAAAAGACTGAACTGTTATTTTACTCGATATGAGTTTCATTTGCACTTTAGTTGGGATCCTTTTAGTTGAAAAATCAACATGACAAGGATAAAGTGAACTCATTCGGTCCATTCATAATTTTAAAAAGCATTTGCATCGATAAATATTGAAATAGTCTAAAAAAATACATTGTTTCTAAAATTCATGAATTTATTTTTCTTTCTTAACTCTTTTTTTTCTTCTATTTTGTGCTGGGAAAAGGCTTAAAAAAGGAAGGTAAAACACGAAACCAACTTTTTACTGATCAAGTTTTTTATCCTTATACATATTGTTCATATATCAGTAAGAGTGAGTTTATTTTCATTAATTTTTAAGTAATTTTGTTTAAAATATTTGTTGTTCTTATAATCATAATGATAATAAAAGGTGGGGTGAGGATATTTTGAAATTTGATTCACAATCCTCAGTTGATTATTTGTCAAACTTGTCCCTCCTTTAATTTTGAAGCCCTTTCAACAACATGGCAAAAAGACTTGCTTGATCAGGAATTTATTTCATGTTTAGGCTTTATCGTAACATAGAGAAAAGCTTACTTGTTGACAAGGGAGTTTGTGGTGGGTGAGTTGTTGTTTGTAAGGTGAGTAGTAAAAGAATAATTGGGTGGAGAAGAAGGGAGAGTTTTTGGGAATTTAAAAGCAACATCATTAAGATATTGATAACAAAAATGGCAAAAATAAAAATAAAAATAAAAATTGTTGATGTCATATTTTGTCCTGAAATGTTTACAAAGAAAAATACAATTTAACTAAGTTTAGGTTTAAGTCAAAATTTCATAAAATTATTAATTATTCAATATTTTTTTCTGATTTTAATTATGTGTATATTAAATTAATTTATATATTCACAAAACTTGTACTGTATTAGTATTTTTAAGGTTAGATTTTTTTTATTTTTTATTTTTGAAATAGGATAATGAATTGACCGGTTTTTGAAAAATAGAAAGGTAACTTTTTTACGTATAAACCAACTATAATTCAGTTAAGGTATTAAATTATATGATAGTATAATTGCATAAACCGACTATAATTTACTCTAAAACTATCAAAATAATGGTATTTCTTTTGGATCTAAAAATAACAATAATTGTCTTTTGGTGGACGGTGAAAGGTAACACGGGCCCATATTATAAAAATAATGCCTCCTTTGTTGAAGTAAAAAATGCAAAAGGCCCAAGGGAACGTGAACCGAACCTACTTACCTACAGGCAAAGCTGAACGAAATGGACCATACAACCCAAGATTGGGTAAAGAGATTCTCAATGTAAACCCAACAATCCCAGAAGTCTGTCAAAAAAGTAAAATCCACTAGGGCCCAAACATGAGGCCCGAAACTGATTAGCCAAGAAACATGCTAAGGGTGGCCTCTTTATTTAAGTTTTTGTTGGGTTTTTTTCAACATCATGCTGTTGTTGATATTGCACTGCAAGATTGATGCGAAGTTATAATTCAAAATAAAAACCAATTTAAAAATGGTTATTATAATATTAAATTATAATGTTTTAATTTTCACTCAATCCATATGTTTTATTATAATGTATTAATAATTAAGTTAAAATTTCGTATGCATCGAAATTAAATTTAAAAAATAAATTAAAAATGAGCATCAATATGCGTATACAACATTGATTCTTGATATAAACGTCCTCCATGTATCATTTTAGGAAGTGTTACAGTTAATTGAATTCATTTTCTTAAAACTTTACTTTAGAGTTAGTTTTTGAAGGGTAACTGAAAGAAGATAAATACTTTCATCATGATTATTCTTATTTTTTAAATAAAAAAAGAATTTATTTATTAATCTTCCTTATTTTTTATTTTTTCCCTTTTCTTTCCCTTCCTTTTTTTTTCTTTGAATAAAACTTAAAAAGTTGTTTGAATGTTCTTTTTAAGAGGAGAATTTTTTTTTAATAATTAACTCTTGTTTAATAATTAAAAAAAAAGAGAAATGATAAAAAAATTTCTTTTAAATTGTCTAAAGTTTTCTTGAATTTAATTTTTAAAATTTATTCAAATTGGAGGGTTAAATTTTAAATATTCAAATAAAAAAATGATTTAACTCTTGTTCCTTTTTTTTTTTTTTCTTTCACTTATCCTTTAAATTCTTTTTTTTGTTCTTCCTCTAAACTTTTAAACAGAGTCTAAATATGCAGGTAAATATAAAAGACTTAGAGGGGTTGATATTTAATAAACATATACACTCTCAACTTTTATCCTTCAAGTTGTATGTATCACTTCATTAATTTTTTACAAATTTAAACCATAAGTTAATTAATCATAATTAAAATGTGATTATATTAAATTTAAAAAATTGCATAATAATTTAGTTCTTTAAGATGCAAAATATTATTACATTTTTATTTATAAAATATTAAAGTGCTAATATAAAAAATTTAAACAATAATCAAGCAATAAATCAATTTTTTAGACATTTTTAATAATAAAAATGTAAATAATTAATATAATGATATTTTAAACATTTTAATAATTATTTTTACAGCTAAAAATTTAAATAAACAAATACATCAACATAAATATATATATATATATTTTTCTTAACCACAAGTATTTTCTACTACAATTTTGTTTGAATTGAATAAGATCATTATGCACAACAAATGTCTCATTCCAAGTAAATTTAAAAAAATAATGTAAATTAATTCATTATTTTGCGTGTTCTACTTGACTAAGGACGTGGAGACAAAATATTGAAAAATATAACTCATTCAATGACTTTGAATGCTGAATATAATATGTAGAGAGATGGGTAATCTTAGGGTGAAAAATGTTAATAGTAAGATTGTGGCTGGAAATGAGTTTGTGGGTTGGGAGCTCAGCAGAAAACAGTAAAAGATCGGAATCTGATGCTGTCTTGTGAAATGTCATTCGCTGGGTTCCACTCACTCATATAAAGTGTCAGAGACTAACTACATTTTCTAATCTTGGCTCAGAAGTTTCCTATACCTACTTATCCCTTTTTATTTGTACACCAAAAATAACTTTCTTATTTATAAATTCCTTATTTTTAATTCTTTTGATTGAATTCAAGTATTCAAAATAGTAACAATTCTTGAAGATGTAAAAGTGTATTGATTTTTCTAATAATAAATATTAGTTACTTTAAATGCTTAAATTTACTTTTAAAAGTTGAGATTTTGAAACAAAGGATTTAAGTGAGATTTTGTGTGAAAATTTGGTGTTTTTTTTGTTATTTTACTGAAAATATTTTTAAATTAATATAAGATTATATTATAAAAAATATAAGCATAGTTTTTGCAATAAAATATTTTTAAGAGAGATGAAAATCTAATATTTTCATAAAAATGGATTTATAGCCATATTATTGAAAATATTTTAAAAGATCTTTTAAGCACATCAAACATAAATATTCTGAGAAATCATGATTCTCAAGAATGAAAAAAGATTTTACATATTAAATTGAGGAGCTAAGGCCTAAGAGGCAACATGTGTCCTCTGCCACAGTAGAAGCACTGAATTAAGCATCAAAACCATTTGGTTTATTGATTGCATGGCACGGCACTTTATTTTATTTTGGCTACGGAAAGATTATTGTATAAATCTTGCATGCATTAGGTTTTTATATTAAATTAATTAACAATTCAAACATAATTTATTTTACAGCAAACAGTTACATAAATTTTAACTATAAATGTTGGAAAGTGATAATTATAAATTTATTAATAAATTTAATACACATAACATGCTTAGGCAAGTTCAAGTCAAGTCTCAGCAACAGCAAGATTGTGCTTGAACGGACATCAGTTACTAAGTTCGAGTACAGAGTATGTTGGAGGAAGATTCGTCAATTTCTCCTCTTTTGCCAAGTTCATCATCACTTGTCGTGACATCAAAGTAGAAAGCAATTTTGAGTCTTGCTTCATTAACAATTTATGTATCCTCACCAATCACACCTAATTTAGCAACATCACTGCCATTGCTAAAACAAAGTGTGGCAGTGGTTGGACTTTTGCAGCGTCCCCCACCTCACTCTCTCTAATTAAAAAAAAACGTGGTACTGATTCTTACACGTTCCAAATACGTTATAAAATTAAATTTAAGTGAGATAGCTTGATATTCTTAGAAAGCTATGACTACAAGCTTTTGGATAATTAGTATATTTGCAGGCTAAGTTGGAATTTTTGGCTCTTCAATCTCCTTTTAGGAGCTTATCCGATAATTGGTAACCATGAAGCCTGCGTGTTGGTTTCCTACGTTTATTTGTCTAATTACAGTTTGGTTAAACGATATTCCTTCTTCCATTCTGATTGGGATGGGCTGAATTAATTGGTGTAAAAATTGTTTGTACCAGTCCTTGTAAGAACTTACAAGAAGCTAGTAAGTAATGAGAAACAAACCCAAGACTTTAACTTCTGAACATAAATCAAGAAGAATTCCTGAATTAGATTGTGTTCATTAATAAATTTGTTTAACCATGTAGTCGATTTTGATTGAAAACAATGGGGAGGAAGGGGAATATGTGGCACTGATATTGAGTTCACATCACTGTTCTGCTAGTATTGAGCTGTACACAACTTCTTTACCATAAAATAGTATCAATTATTTATAGAATTTAATGACAAAAGAAAAAGATTCTAAAATAAACACAAGTCTTGCTTTGGCTATGATGGAGATAAGAGAGAATGTTATTATTATAGTACTAATAATCACTAGAGAAGACAATGGAAAGTAAGTGGGGAATAGGAAAGTAGCTGGTCCAATTCAGCCCACATATATTATTAATGGATTAACCATCCATGCATGCTTACTTCAATCACTACATTCCCCCGAGCACCCAAAATATACCAACTAGTATATAAATAAAGACAGGGCTGGGTCCTGCTTGAACAGGGTTATGTACAGCCACATCAAACTTTACAATTAAAATGACTGTTATTAGTCATTGATGCCACAAAAACGGCAATTGTAGCATTTGTTGGGACCTAAAAGCCTTATACACAACGGCTTCAAACAAAAAAAAAGTAAAAGAAAAGAAAGCGTTCTCCTTTTTCCATATTAAACACTGGGACAAAAAAGAGAGATGATGATGAAAATGTTCCATTCCACTGATTAATGGAACCCTCCTCCGGCTGCGGTGGCAGCTTTGGCCAAATCCGGCGGCGGAGATGGCAGCAGAATTATGGATAGAAGCCCACTGGCCGCAGCCGCCACAGCACCCACCACAAACGCTGGCAAGTTTCCACCACCAAACAGAGCATCCCATGGTCCACTCACCACAGACACCACCATCTATATAAAATACATAAGTACTCACAGTTAGCCAATAATTAACAATAAAAACATATGATTAAATTAAGTGGAAAAACAATTTAGTTCTGACCTGTGGTATGACAATTGCAAGATTGAGAACTCCTAGAGACAACCCTGAAATTTTTTAACAAAAGACAAAGGTTATGCATTTTTTGTTTAAGATGACCAATTATGCATATTCAGTAAAATTGCTTAATGAAGTGAGTTATGATTGTCTTACCCTGGCCTGCCCCTGAGGTGCTGGAGAATATTGATGCCAAAGCAAATGGGATGCTGTAAGTAATCTGAAAAGATGCACAAAGAAAGCATTAGGTTACTACTGTATCTTGTAGAATAAACCTTTTTGACTTTTGTTTTGTATGCTTTTCCACCTTTAATCCTTTATTTTTTTTTAAAATAAATGGATAAGTGAAGGCAGAAGTGAAGAAGTAGGTTTGTATTTTAAACAAATAGCATCACGGAAAAGCTAAGCTGTGTTTGCAAATTGCATTGCAAAAGTTAAATACATTAAATACAATAATCACGGAGTATAAACTGTGACCTGAAACTTTGGATGGTATCTTTTATTTTATTGATAGGATAAAATCAGGATAGTAGCCCCTGGCTCTGCATCTTGATTCCAAAATTAATCTATTAATGTCATGATTGGCATGCTATTTATTAGTATTTGCAATTAAATAGACTGTTCATCATTAGAGGGAATCACAATCAAGGAAAAGCAAAAAAAACATGAAAACAAATTGATCATTGTCTATTCCAGTTGAAACAAAAGCAACGGTCAAGCAAAGTATTTATTTTCTCAAAGTAGAGTCCAAATAAAAATTTGTCGAATTAGAAACAGAGTCCACATTTTAAAAGAAAAATAAGGAGTATTGTTTCGTATTTACTGAGGGGGGCCCAGCGCACTGCAGTATCAACCGCACAAAAAACCAAGGAAAATCTTGGGAGATCGTAAATTCACATGGCTAATTCATGCATGGCGAGTGACCGACTCCATTCTAATTTTTGTTTAAACAAAAGGAGTTAAAGTGTTTTAACTTTTCCCCATTTTCTTCCAGTAACACAAATTATTTGTCCTTTATTCTTCTTGTCCACCGCCCACCAGCAATCAAATATGTAAATTCAAAGTACATATCCATAAAAAAAATTTGAAACCGTAGAAATGAATAGGGATATTTTAATAAAGATAATTATGAAATAATAAGAAATATTTGAAAAGCGTACCGCAAGAGGGATTCCAAGGACGGAAAAGAGAGCCAACGCGCCGGCCTTCACGCCGCCGGGAGGAGGAAGAGGGTCGGATTGGCCAGGAGCGAAGTGGCGAGAATGCTCGGCCAACTTGGTGACCAAAACGGTCATGGCCAAACAAATAGCCAGCAAGAAGTTAACAATTCCCCACAACCTCTTCACGCCCCCAACCCCACGCGCGAGGATCTCCACGCCCAACGACGTCACACCGAGCACAACAGAATTCAACATGAGGCCCAAAGCACCCGCGCGCACGCCCTTATCGTAGGCCTTACCTTCTCCAACCTTTCCCCCGTACACCTCTCTCCCCATCCAATCTGTGTCAAAAAGCAAGAAAGGGAACCATGCAATCCAATTCAGACACGTCACCAACAGAAGGATCCACATGGGTCTCTGAAGCTCCCGAAATGCACCAAATAACTGCCCAAAACAAGGCATGCCTCCACGTGACCCACCACCGTCCTCCTCAGTTTCCGCGTTAACGTTCTTCTCTCGTGAGAGCGTTTTCTCCTTCACGTAGGTCATGGCCGCGGTGGCAAGCACCAAGAGAAGCGCAATGGAGAGGAAGAAGCAGCTCTTCAAGTTCGCACAGTAGACGTCACAGGCCTTCGTTTTCGTGAAGGGGAACACGTGGTGGAGGCCGCTGTAGGAGCCGGCGGCATAACCGAGGACGTTGCCGACTGCCATGAAGAAGGAGAAGAAGGCGTTGGCGGTTCTGGTTTTGCGGTGGTCGCCGGCGGCGAGGTCGGCGAGGAGGGCACGGCAGGGGCCCTGGAGCATGTTGTTGGCGACGTCGAGGATCCAGAAACCCACGACAAAGATGGCGATGGCTCGGGGGCGGGTTTTCTTAGCAAGGGAGTCGCCGAACGAGTGGCCGAGGTCTGCGGCATAGCCGATGAGGAAGACGGCGATGGCGACGGCAAGAGCGCCGGCGGCAATAAAGGGACGTCGGCGACCAAAGCGGGAGGTGCAGCGGTCACTGTGGTAGCCGACTATGGGCTGGACGAGCATGCCGGAGATTGGGCCGCATAGCCAGATGAAGGCGGCCCAAGTGTGAGGGATGCCAAGCAACTGGACGTATGGAGTCAACAGGGAGAGCTGTAGGGCCCACCCGAATTGCACCCCGGCAGCTATGGAGGCCACCACTATTATTTTCCGGAGAGGACTGGGCTCTGTGGCGGGATCCTCCAGGTGTAGTGAAGATGGCTTTGTTGGATTGTTGTTGTGTTTGGTGGCAGGGAGAGGTTCCATGGTGTGATAGAGTTAGCTTGGGTTTGTGTTTCTTGTTGTGTGTTGTGGGAGAGCGTTGGTGGGTTTTATAATGGGGGAGGGGGGCAGTTGCATGTAATGGAGAATCTGATGACTTTCAGAATTGAGTAGAACAGTGTGTGTGTGTGTGAATGGTTGGGTTTTTTTGGATATGGTAATTGTTGGTGTGTTAATTAGAGGCCTTTGCCTTATCCGTTTGGGTTAAAGTCTGGGTGCGTGGACTTGTGTTTTGTTGTGGGGGAGGGTCATTTATTGTGGGTTTCCTCTTTTGAGACTGCTGTAAATTCGCCTTGTCACAGCTTGGACGAAACTTTTATGGACCAGTACCATCCTACCAACCTCACTCACTTCCCTCTTTCTTACCATAAAATGCATCTTCTTTGACTTTCCCCTCCCTTTTGCTAAGAAACACAAACAATCATTAACCAAATTATGTGCATTTTTTATTAAGTTATAAATATAAATATATATTTTTAAGAATAATTAAGAACATTTAACAAATTGTATTTAATGCTCCCGACACTAATTTGCAAGGACAACAGTATAATACTCCTATCATGGGTAGATTCTAGCTGATCATGGGAACCAAAAAGTTGGCATGATAAGGGTCGGTACTCGAGATTATACCAGAGAAGAGTAACTTCTTCCCTGACTGGAAATTGGGTACAGGAGTATAATGCAGTTATGGTGTAATTATTCGTGAAAGTTGAAAATATGGTCAATTAATAAGCTTTGAACAAATTAGGTGTGCATAACAATCAACGCTGCTTATCTAAGTTTAGCAGGGGAATAATATAAAATTTGTACATCTCAGCAGGGACTTGGATTGAGTGTCAATTAAAATATTATAGATTATTTATGGTGCAAATTCTAAAAAACACACATATATACACTCTACAGTATGGATTGTGTATTCAAGACAGTAGCTTACACTGTACACATAACTGGCTCAATTGGGGAAAATTTTAAGGTGTGCACAGTTTAATTTCAAGCATTAGTTTAAAATACAGAACAAATTTAACTATAAATCAATTACGCGTTGCACTAAGAATGCACGTCAAATAAACTGAATGGAAGACACTCAATAATGAGTCAACAGTCTCTTGTTTTTGTTTTTCTTCAAAAGTAATAACTTCCCCTGCCGGAGGAGAGGGGTTTGGTTCATTCCGTAATATTGGCCGCCCAAAACTGAAACCGTTTGTGTTGGTGGCACCGAGACAAACCCTGAGATCGATTATGTAATGATACTTGGTAATGGGAAAATAATACTAACTACTCTTTAAAACAAATTATGTAATGACTAATTTTGTTTGTTTGAGAGGTGGTGGCCAGTCCCAAAAAGTCTATAATTGTTTGGATTAAATTGATTATGGAAAAATATATATAAAAATCTGAATGAGTTTCCATTTTTATCAAACTATTTGTTAAATGTTGATCACTTTTAAATAATATAATTAAACATATAGTTTAGTATTAATGTAATAAACCTATATTTTGCTAATTGGTAAAAAGGTAAAAAACTTAGGATCATTTAATGCCACAAGGGAAGAAATATAGAGAAAAATTAACTGGTAAGTTGTGAATCCAACGTAATTATATTTGAATAATACTCTAAAAATGTAACTTGATAAGTTGGCCCTCTTCTCACATCAATTGGGTACTGAAGTTTCTAAAGATCTTTGTACAAATTGGTAGGTTATATCCATGACAAGATGCATTCTACCCAGCAAACTATTTTAAAAGCTTAATATAAACAATGATTTATCAAACTAGTGTACATTTAATGTTTACCCGGTTTGAAATCAAGCATTAAAGTGCATGAGTTATAATTTCTTTTCTTATTACGTGTTGTACTGCTCAAATAATAGACTTTTATTAATAATTTCTTTATTATTAATAAAAGTCTATTATTTAAAAGGTTAAACATTAAATACTGTTCAAATAATAGACTTTTAATTTTTAATTATATGTATATTATTGATATTTAATTAAAAAAATTGACACTATATAATAAAAATATCATTTTAAAATAAATAATTTAATTTTATTAAGCATTTGTATTTTGATGCATATTTTTATAATTATAAATTTAAATTTAAATTAATTTTTAGAATTTATCATTTAAAATAATTTATAACATATATATGATTATTCATAAAATATAGAATTTTATTTTAATTATTAAATTACATTGATCTAAAATAAAATATTAGTGTATTAGATTGTTAGTAAACTAGTAGTTGCATAAATTATAATAATTTTCTATAAAATAATTTAAAAATATAAAATGACCATCTTTATCATATTTTGTGAAAAAGAAAAAAAAAAAAAAAGAACGAATCGGATTCGCAAAAGTAATAAAATTAAAAAGGAATGCGAGCTTTGATGAGAAAAGTTGGTCGTAAACCCACCGACACACTTTGACTAGTGGACCCCAGCAACCGTCTACAATGAAGAAACTGTGCCAAACACGACGACGACGTATTAATTTGATGCCGTCATCCTTTGCCAAAAATATGTGTGTCAAAGTGCATCAATTTTTTTAATAAGTATTCTCTATGTATTATATGATGATGATGAAGAACAATGCAGAGTCGTGTTTATCTTTTATATTTTAATCCACTCTTCATTTCTCTACCTTTATATTCTTCTTCTTTAGATAATTTGATACATTTACACACACTTTGCATTCCACCAAATAATAATAAAAAAAAAAACACATACTTTACCCAAAGTATAACATATGAAATTGAAAAAGCAAGGAAAATTAAGAGTAACTGGTTAATCTTAAATAAAGATGGCATCAATAATTTCACATAGTTGGTTCAATGAAAATTTCTTGAATAATGAAATATAATAATGAGTAGAATTTAATTTGAAAATGCAAATTATATAAGTTGAAGTATTTATAATTTTTTAAATTGTCATTTCAATTCAATTTAATTTATAAATGATCAATATAATATATAAATAACAGTTTAAATTAATAAATAGTAGTTCATTAGCATCATGAATGTACACTAAAAAAAGTAAAGTTCTATTAAAAAATAAACAACTAATAATAATAAAATTTTATTAAAATAAGAAGTATTTAATGTATTTTTATAATTTCAATACAATAATTATAAAATATTTTTTATAAAAACTTTCTAGAATATTTAAATTCAGCCCTTTAGAGTTAAAGTTAATAAAATTAAAAAAATATCACATCTTAGTAATAAAGTATTAATGGTTAGCTTTATTTCTTTCAAGGTAGATGTTGTTTAACAAAATCAAATTGCAGGTAGAGACCTAAAGTCTATGCAAATAGTATAAACTATTGATAATATACATTAGTGTTTTAAAATTTTGTTTATATTGATAGTATAATTTTTATTTACTCTATCATTTAATTTAAAATTTATAATAATTTAAAATTTTATTTAATGTGTATTTTAAATAATTAGTTATATACAAACTATACATGTGTTTGAAAAAACCATTTCAATTGACTAAAAGCTCATTTTATTAATTAAAAAATTTACTTTGTAACAATAATTTCTATTTGGTAAGGTAACTAAAATAAGTGGTTATTAACATTTTCTTTTATATGTTATTAACATTTTTTAACACTACTTTAACTTGTATTTTTTATAAGTGTTAATTTTAACCAACAAATTAAAAGTAATTTTTTTTTACTTTTGTTTATATTATTTTCAAATAAATTTTCTCTTTATCTCTTCAATTTATGAAACTTCACTACTTTTATTTCTTTTATGTTAAACTTTCTAAATTTATTTTATTATTAAATTTTATTAAAATAAAACAAAATCATTAAAATAATAAATTAATTAATTAATATGATCTCATTTTATTTAACAAAATATTTGAAAACATAACAAAATTTGAATTATTATTTTAAAGAACATATAATTATCAAAATTTAAAGTCTGAACTGAAAAATAATTATGATCTTATCTAATATTTTATATTTATTATTTGATTTAATAAATAATATTATTAAATACGTTTAACTGATCAATTAATTAGTTATCATTTTTATCTTTTAACTTTGAATATTTACTTTTCAACTAACTTTTTTAACTTCTAATTAACTTATCAATTAGTATGATACATCATATTATTGATGTAGGGTATAGTTTCTAAGCTAATAGTTCAGATTTTATTGGATAAAATTTATATTTCTAAGAGTAAGCTTAACGGCTAAATAAATTTATCTAAAGCAAAGAGATACATACATAAAGTAAAAAATAAAATATGTTTATTATTAATTTAAATGTTTTATAAATATAAATAAATATAATTTAATGGGTAAATATAATCTTAATTATATATATATATATATATATATAATCTTTTATGAGGAATTAAATTTTAAAATAAAATAAAAAATGATTTTTTATTTGTTTTGTAAAAAAATAGAATAACATTTCAATGAAATTTTATTTTATAAATGTTTAATATGATTTTTCATGTATTTCAACAAATTTTATGATAAAAAATTGTTATTTATTAATTTTTAATCAATACTTCAAGATAATTTATAAAATTAATTATATTTTTAATTCTTGTAAAATATTACCGGTATTTTTATTTGTCTGTCTAAAATAGAATAAGTTTCACAAACTAAATAATCTAATTATTTTATTAAATTTATTTGCTATTTTTTTCTTTATTAATGAATCATTTTATGATTCTTGAATTGCTCAAATAATATAAATATTTATATAAATAAAATATCATTAATAGAAGAATCACAATTAATATTTTTAAAAAAATTTCATATCAATTGATAAATAAGATTTTTTAAACGATAAATAAAAATAAAAAGATAATAATTTAAAATATAATAGACTATTTAAGATTAGGAGTAGTATTACATGTAGAATAAATGTTTTTATTTGTTTGTCAATTATTGCAATTAATAACAACAAGTAAGGATCATTGACTTGGAAGGTGTACAGGAGATGAGGTCATGAGGCCACTGCATGGCACATTCAATTCAATTCAATTCAATTTATATCATCAGAGGGTGCCTTGATAAACGCACCCTTTATTCATACTGATCCCTCTCCTATGTTTCATCAAAACAAATATTTCAATTTCAAATTTTTTAATTTATACTAGAAATAAATAATAAATAATAATTTTTAAAATATTACTATTATATGTTGAGATATAAAATTTTAAGTACGTAGACTAGCAATAAATCAAAACTAAAAAAAAAGTTTTAAATAAAATTATTTTTATTTAAAATAATGTGCTATTCCATTCTGATCGTTTTATAGTGTATGGTGCAAAGATTAAGAAAATCTTGAAGTCTAGAAATATAAAAACACATAAACTAAAATATTTCATCTATTATTTTGTA